AGCAATAGGCGCGGCGCGCGCGATTCGGGGCCCGTGCTCGGCAGCGTCACTCTTGGCAGTGCACGGCCGCCGCTTTGCGCGCGCCCCACAGACATAGGCGACGTAGGATCGCAGCAGTGGCATTTTCAACTTATAACGTAAGACATGTACTTAATCGAGTTAGTGACGAGTTGTTCATCGCGAGTCGCACTGGAGCGGCCGCCGCTCGCCGCCCACTTGTTTTAGTAATAATAATAAATAAATGAGATCAAAACGACTTAGTGAATCGGCAATGTTCAATTTTGTATAGAACGTTTCATAGTAGCGGTATTTGAGAGTTGTTATTTATTTGTGAGATTCGTTCGTAGCGCGTTCCGTTCCACGCAGAGCCGCCTCCGGCCGACCGCGCGCGACTCACGCCCTCGCCCGTCGCGCGACGGCGGACGGACCGCGCCGTCAACTATTAACTATTAAACAATCTTGTAAGTAATTAAGTATTAGCTTCGAATCAATAAAGCCTTTTTAAAAACTTAGTTAAAAATGAAACTATTGAAACTTCACATGTTTAAATAAAATTAGTTATGATTTCAGTAAATAGAGAGATCATGATATCGTTTTGTGTATTATATTGCTATTTTCGTTGATATTCGTTATACCACGAGTTTCCCAATGAAAGACATAAATTAGGAGTGTTGGTGCGGGCGGGGGCCGCGGGTCGAACGGAGGCCACAAGCCGAAGAGGCCTCGCGGCCTCGCCCCGCCCCGACAACATTGTTTTGACACGACAGTCTGCCACTAACCGTTTTAGGTGATAAGTCCCATTGTTGTATTTTTCGTCTCACAATAAATGAAAATCTATTTTATTGTTTTTAACACTGTAGTTTTATTTACCACACCTTTTTTACAGTGCTTCCCAAAGTTCAAAGCGGAATTTAGTCACGTCATATTTATTACTACTGTGGAGCTTTGGGCAACATTGTCTTGAAACTGAGCAACGGGAAAAATTGAGTAATTATTAAAATATTTTTTTATTAAAATGAAAAAGCGCCTTGCTTCGATCCTTTAATCTGGGCACAAAATAATTGGAAATCCCTAAATTCCCTGCATGAATATTAGAATAAAATTACAAAAATTTCCTATTCTTAAAAGAATCCACAGCACAACCCGGTATGTCCTTATCTAGCGAAATGCTAACTGCTAGGTCAATGAGATCGTCCAGTGAGTTATTAGAATGAGTTAAGCGCCTAAAAAGTGATATTAGCAATTACACGGCGAAGATAAACTGTCTTTTTAGAAGACAACTTTTGCAAAGGGGTTTTATATATTTATTTTTTTAAATAACTTTATAGAAGCTTCCTAAAACAGTGAAAAAAAAGTATATTTAGGTTAGGTTAGGTTTTAAATAGATAACTTTTTTTTATATAAATAAAAAAAGTAAATTTTATACTGCTAGAACCATGAAAAACGTAAAGTGGTCCGCGCCAACCTGACGTCAGAATGGCTGGCCACTTTATTTCTTTAATATTTCCGTTAGCGCTAATGTAGAAAATATGCCAATAAGCAATAAAGGTACCAAATAGTACAAAATAGGTAGTAAATAATGAGCCCGGTTTGATTTGTATATCTCGTTTGATCCAGTCATCCTGCCGGATACGAAAATTCATGTAAGTGAACTAAGGTAGGAAGATACTTTGGACGCCCTAAAAGTTGCCTCTGTACCATCAATGGAAATGTCTGATGGTACTACGGTAAAGAAAGGGTCCTTTCTGCGTCCCTCATCCCAGCGTGGCCGTGGTCGGAATTTTTGAATATTCGACTTAGGCAAAAAGTGATCATTTAACCTAGATATAGTCAGTTCGCCGCTTCAAACGCGTGCCTTATTATTGCGTGACGCTGGCAGTATTTAGAATTAAACTAGCCAGAAATAGTCGCTATTTAGTTGGTTCTAGTCGTAAAAACTACATTTAGTCGGTCCGCCGTTCAATACTGTCCACGCTGGACTAAGCTTATTCCAGCGGCACCATGTCTCAGTTTCGAGAACCACATCACCTAGGTTAGATCTGATTACATTAAAAAGTCGTGATTTAATCGGTTCTAGTTGCGAAATTTTAGAATTAGTCGACCATGGTCACGCTGAAATAAGGCATGCGACGCCACCGTTCGCTCACTGGGCTACAGTGGCTATTAATAATAATAATAACAATCTACTAACATCCATCCTTCTCATGTGACCAGAAAAACAATAAAACACTCAAATTGAAATAATCTAATATTTATTTACAAAGTTTAACATATAAAAATATGTCAAGTCACACTTAACAACATGCGATATCACTTCAAAAACTTTCAATGTCATTTGAATTACATACATTATTAAAATATTCTTATTTATAATAGAATTAAATGTCCATTTCCTGAACGATTTCACTTGAGACTCGATCACAGGTAGGGACCATACATATAATACGTCTCGCATAGTTCTTTGGCCTCCAGTGGTTTCATTTGCAATAATAAATATTGCTTTATTATATAACGTAGTGATGAATGGTGACGATTAGGCCCAGTATAGAGATACACGATTTTTTGCTTTGAATCGTAATGAATTATGTGCCTCTGAATCGATCCACAGATCGGAGCGTATCCTCTTAAATATTTCTCATAAAAATCGTTTCAAAATTCATTTCGATGAAAAAAATATTTTTTACAGCCTTTTTGACTTCAGTCCGTTTTAAAGTGATACTAGCCAGTGAAAAAAGGCTTTCAGATGGCACAGAAGTAGCGAAATTAGCCAAATATTGTATACGTATTGTACTTAGACGTTGCCAAACGGCTTTTCTTGCAGGCTTATATAAAATAGGGGTTCGGAAAGAGACTGTTTTATTTCAATTATGAATACGATCTGCAGGATTTTCCCCTTCATACTGAATCGATTTCTTTACTTTAAATGAATCGGCAAAAAAAATCGCTAGATCGTATACACTTGAATAGATGTTCATAAAAATCTAATCGTAATGTCTCAGGGTGACGGGCGCAGTGGTAGTGCCCCTCAGATCTTTTTAATTTAAGCTCTGAGTGGCACTACAACTGTTATGGTCAGGCGTGTAGCTCACCATCAAGCGCCCGACTTGTTCGTCCCGTCACTTGATAATATAAAGCAATGTGCATCCCTAGCCCGGTATCCACCGAAGCGTAACAAATTCCGTTTGACGTATTTAGTGAATATAACAAAATCATATTAATTATTTAAACACATATCACCACTAACCGTTTTACCGCATTTACACATTGAAAATTCAAAAATATCTTTTAATGTGACAATTTCAAGTTTAAATTGCTTTTCTATGCAATAAAGTTATTTTGATTTACTTTACGAATCAGCTGGACACAGGTCCCCTCACTGGCGAGGGTTTAGGCCATAGACCCTTATTTTATATACAGGTTTCATTATGTTTTCCTTCATCTAAAAGCTCATGATAAATTTCTAATTAAATTTCGTATATAAATTCCAATGAGGAAGTATTGAGAATGATAAACGAGAAAAAAACGATCCCAAAGACTATCGAGAATAGACGCGGGAAAATGATTAGACATTTGATACGACAACTTCTTGAAGACCATTTTAAAGGGAAAAATTGAAGGGAAGAGGGGAAGAGGTCGACCTAGGCGCAGCCACATAGACCAAATAAAGGAAAAGACCGGTGTCGTGTCATTATAAGGAGGTCAAGGAGCTGGCGTATAAGAGAGATGACTGGAAGATCCTCCATCGACAAGAGTATAACTCTTAAGTTTGATGATGATATAAATTCCGAGAAACTCAGAGGTGCGAGGCCGGATTCAAACACATGGCCTCTGCTTGACAGGCGGTAGATCAAACCATTAGGCTACCACGGCTTATAAATAATAATTACATACTTTACGAATACTTACAATTTTTTTTTATAATACCATGTGACGGGTCGAACTAGTCGTGGACCTGGTGCTTACCACCTGTCCATAACAGTTGCAGTGTTACTTAAGAGCTTTTTTTAATTGCAAAGATCTTACGGGCCCTGCCACTGCGCCAGTCGGGTGACTGAGACATGAGTTGGCAAGTTCCATGTGCCTGTAATTTCACTAACCGTAATACTCCAGCAGTGGAAAGGATTGGATCGCTATCTTTTGTTTTGTTCAGAGTACGAGACTAGGTAGTCGCCGTGTAAAATTTGACACAAAAAGCATGCAGTTACTGCATCCGATTCGTATTGTTCCGAATCCGAGACCTACAAATTTAGAAAACTCTGACCCACTTCGGATATCGCTTGTGCACTAAGTCCGAAATGAATATATCGCTTGTACACCTAGAGATAGAATGCTCCCCGTCACATTTCGGACCGTTATTTCTCGGATTCGGAACTGGAGGTGTACTCCTTTTCTCCGTCTGACATCCGTCCGAAACCATTACTGTCAAATAAGTAATCCACAATCAAATGAAAAGAAGTGTGATGCGAATGACGCTTCACACTTGACATTCTGTATTGATTTGGTCGTGTTTAAGACGGAGTACGGGGGTTATTTCTTCTTTACCTTTCTTTATTACCCCTGATACGAAGCCGACGTAATGCGCAAACCGCTCTAATGGTTACGCTATTGGTAATCGAACAAAAACATATCATAATAACTGAATGTATTTTGTGAACAATTTTTTAAATTAATACAATGATCGAACACTCAGAAAAAATCCTTCGATCCGGGCGGAACCGAACCGACGTCTTCTAGCATACCGTGCCAGTAGCTATACCAACTAAGCGTTAGTTATAACATACATATATGTATAATAGGTCAACCGTGACCATGGGACCTGTAAAGGGCCCGAAACGTCGGTTTGTTTGAAAAAACAAATATACGCGATTTAAATCCGGAAAAATAGTTTCATTTCCTATGTGTAACAATCGCAAAAACCTAAGAACTCGATATATAATAGTTACTAATTATATACATGTAATAGTTACTAATTATATACAAATAATAAAATAATAGTTAATAATTATAACAAACTAGTGGAGTAATTTCACATAAAAAGAATTGAATATCAATTCAATAAAAATTTTAATATTAATCGTGCTGAAACTCTTCTTTCTGGTTTCATCAATTAATCCGTGAAAATTCGGTTTACGGCTTAACTTTTATTTATACAACTACCGTTATTCTACCATTGTTAGTGAAACTAAAAATTGAATTGAACGCCATCACACTGTAAAATACTTTACGCATCTCACCCCATCTATTCGACGTAGTATATGAATGGTCCCATATCCTAAGTTTCGCACTAACACTTTTAATTGTCGTCGTCATCTTTCGGTGGCGAAGGCGGAGGCTTGATGGGGGCCTTCTGCTAGGGAAACGTAATGAGACCTGGCGGCGGTTCCGGCGGCATAAATCCCGGCAGTGGCACGTTCGGATCTAGAGACAAGATCATACATTGTAACAACTAGTGGAGTAATTTCACTAAAATAATTAAATATCATATAATAACATTCAATAAAAACTTTTAAAGAACAGAGCATCAGGCTTAGTTTTCTCGACGTAATTTCAGTGACAATTTTTATTATTCAAGTATTCGAGTATACTTCCTGAAATTTCAAATAATATTTCAGAATACTACACTCGAATATTAAGTAATACTTCATGATAATATTCTAGAATATTTAAATGCTTAGAGTTGTCACCGAAATTAGGTAGAGAAAACCGACTTGAAAATTACCCATCAGATACATTTCATTGGAAATCAAACAATTTTTTTTTCTGCTCTAAATCGCGTATATTTATTTTTTTTTATTTTTCAAATAAATCTGTTGATTTATTTCGTTATGTTCTTTGGCAAATTAAAAATATTAACCATTTTCATTAAAATAAGATATACTATAACTGATTGATGACTTTACAATCTCAATCAGCCGTGACTGTGGGATCTGTAAATGCCCCGAACCGTTGGTTTGTTTAAAAAAAAACAAATATACGCTATTTACCCGAAAAATATAGATATACATTACATATTAAGAAATACATGTCCAGCAGTAGATGTACACGAATTCATTTGGTACTTTTAGCATATATTTCACATAATACATAACTTTCCATATGAGCAGCAGCGGACTGTAAAATGATAGTGATAAATGGCTGATAATACATACGTTATTGAGTAAACATTTTTAATTCAAAATAAAAACTAAACCTAAGCGAGAGGTCGTTTTTCTATAGAAATATGTATCACATTTCTCAAGCAATGAACAGAATACTCGTAGCCTTGTGAATTTCACCTGCGAAGGGATTATTATAATGTTATTATTATATATGTTATTGTATCTTTTCCGAAATGCAGTTTTATTATTTAGGACACTACACACTTACAAATTTTTTTAGGATTTCTTCCTAATGAAAAGAAAATAGAAAAAACTCATTTTTTGAGCAAAATGGGACCTAGTGACCTTTTAACATACGACAAGTTAATCTAAGCCATAGGTTGGAGGTAAGTAAAACGCCCTTTCCACTAAAACTTCAACTAAAATTGCAACGCCCAAAACCACAATAATTGAAAAAAAAATGTATTTTTTATATTAACTTAACACAAAAATAATCGCAAGGGAAAAAAAAAATATTTATGTTAGTGTAGTGGTTTTTCAAATGACACCGGCACCCCCTGGACAGCGTCAACACCCTCCAATTGCTTCCGAGGCCCCTACCGCCATAGGATTCTTCAGCGCCCCCTGAGGGAAACTATAGTCTAAACTTACCGAATTTTTGCGGCATATGGTGCGGCGGCGGCAACAATTGCTGCGGCGGGAAGTGGTGCCGCAGCAGGTGCAGCGGCGGCGCAGCGCGGGCCGGGGGCGGCGGGGAGCCGGGCGGGGGCGGGGGCGGGGGCAGCGCGTCCCACAGCGGCACGTGGTCGGGGTGCGACGCGGCGCACGGCCACGCGCAGCCCAGGCGCCGGACCTTCTTGCGCTGCGCAGGCGTCGCGTACGTGTCAATGCCGAGGACGTACACTCGCAGTGTGTATTTCAACTCACAACTTCATTAATAATTAACCAATTCTGATAAACAATTGGACTTCCACTGGGTGTTAACAATTATAGTATACAAACACACCAATCAACAAATCTCAAAATAGGAAATTCCCTATACTATTAGTACCAGAACAACACCAATCACTTTGGGGCATTACCTACAATACCCAGATCAAAACAAAATTAAGAAAAAATACAAAAATTGAACACGAAGAAAAAATTCTTCGACCTGACAAGACAAAATATATAATAGTAGTAGCAAAAGCATGATATTCAATAAAATTAATATTACAATTTAGAAAAGTTTGTTTCTCAAATTAGTCCTACCGGGAATCGAACCCGGCACACACCAGAGTAATCAAAACAAAAGTTGAATCGAATACCACAGTTTCTGTAAGACGTACCTTTTTCAGCGGCGGTTCTTCAGTGTCGGAGTCTTGCCCGGGCTTGTACCCGTCGGCGAAGCTCACGCGCTTCACACCGCGTCCCGACTCACCCACTGACAACGCCTTTCTGTATTGTACAAGACCATTTTATGTTAATTAACACTTGCTTCAACCGTGAAAGGAATAGAGTTGTATTCACTATACGACTTTACCTATACACAAATGACTTTTTAGTCACCATCCAAATTTTAATAATAATAGTAGTTATTTATTCAAGACACTTGTTAGTTTTACAGAACTTTAGCTACTATGTTAGTTTACAGTTTAATATTTATAAATGTAATAAAATAAAATATAATAAAAAATTATAATGGAAATTGAAATATTACAAGGAAATCAAATTAAAATTTTTAAATTGCAATAAAATTAACTAAAATAAACATTAAAATTGAAATAAAATAAAAAGAAAAAAGAAAATAAAAATTATATAATTATAACTATAAAGCACCCCTTACGACATTTCAATTTAATCTATCTTGAAATATTCATAGTTATTGATCGAAAATTCGTTCATGACAATGCAGATTTCATGAAATACATTGAACATTGGACAGTGGAAAATGTAAAGAAATAGGTTCTCTATAATTTATCATTTACTTATTTAGTAGCAGTAGACCTCATTGTGAAAGAGTTCATCCAGGATAGTACTGCCACCTTGCCTATTTCTGCCACCTTGCCTATTTCTGCCGCCAAGCAGTATTGTCAGCATTACTGTGTTCCGATTTTGAAGGGTAAGGGTGCTGGTGAAATTACAGGCGCATGGGACTTGTCAACTTATGTCTCAGGGAGACGACCCAGTGGATGTGCCCCTCAGGTCTTCGCGATTTAAAGCTCTGAGTGGCACTGCAACTTGTTATGGATAGGCGTGCAGCTTACCATCAGGCGCATGACTTGTTCGTCCCGTCATTTAATATTATAAAATCAAAAAATTACTTACGTGACTAGAATCCCTTTTTCAGGGACATCTTTGTCTCCTTCGGCTTCTTTCGCAACTTCACCGAGCACTGTCAAAGAAACAACCAAATTTAAAAGCAATTACGTCAATACTTTGGTCAGTCAGCTCACTTGACTCGACACTTAATTGATTGTACCCTTGAATCAGTCTTGCTCGCGCAGTACAATAACGACAAACTCGCTAGTCTTTCTCAGGGTCGCATTCCAGAACTCTACTCAATGCTCAAGTCAGGATTTGAGCAGACTTGAGTATGATTTCAAGCACTGGAAATACGACCCTAATGGCAAGGACTTGAGTATGATTTCTAGTGCTTTGAATCATACTCAAGTCCTGACTCGAGCATTGAGTAGAGTTCTAGAATACGACCCTAAAAGTATTATTAATTCAAGCTAGCTGGAACATCGTTTCTGCTGACGTCGCGCAGTTAGCTCGCTCGGCTCAGTCATGATTAACTCACTTGTCCTTTCAAAGCGTGACCGATTATATCATCAAGCGAGCTAAAACGTCATTCATAGTGTGTTAGCTCAGCTTGCACGCGCGACTCGATTGTGATAACTCACCAGTCTCTCTCAAAGCGCGGTTAATCCTATCATCGAGGGAGCTGGAACGCGGTTCATGATGACTTTGCTCGGGCTGCTCGATCGGTTCCGCGAAGCAGTCGCCGTATTGGAGTCTGTCTGATGCCCCGTACATATCCATGTAGGCTTCATCGTAACTGCAGAATAATATTGCTAGTTATTTTTTTTAACGTCAGAATGTTTAACCACCATGATATTAAATTATTTTTCGTGAAATTACTCCACTACAATACCAGGACGCTATGATGGCCGTTTTGACGTTTGTCCGGTCATCAAGTTTCGTATTAATTCATAACTACGTTGAAGGAGCTAATTGCTGTACTTTGTCATGATTGACTGCCTCCGTGGCTAATTGCTGTACTTTGTTATGATTAACTGCCTCCGTGGCCGAACGGTTACCATGCCGGACTGCCACGCAGAGGTCCCAGGTTCGATTCCCGGCCGGTAGAAATATTTGTATGGCCTACATTTATTTCTCTCGTGAGTTTGGGTGTAATTTGTGGTTGTCTATGTGTGTGTCCATGGCACCCGCGACACAGGGTTTCCCTAGTGCGGGGCTATGTTGATTGTGAGCGTTGTTATTATTATTATTATTGAAATTTGAAATTTTTAAAAATGAAATCTAATATGATCGTCACTCATAGGATCGCTGGCCAGCACAACTTCTACCTCCGGCAAATTCGTGTCAAAGCTCAATGCAAAACAAAGCAGTTTCGAATTGACGTTACTTCGAAAAGAATAAACTGTGAGTGTGATAATATATAGTTTTCAGCTGACTTTGGATTTTGGATATTGATACTGCATTACTATTTTTAAAACTTATACATTATATTTTTCGATAACAAATTGAACCTAACTATTGTAATCTGTTAAAACGGCCATCATAGCGTGCCGGTACTTTACTTACTTATACATACAACAATCGAACACTTAGAAAAAATTCCTTCGATCCGGTAGTAATCGGACCGACGTGCCTAGCAAACCTAACTATGTAGATGACGAAACACTTTCATACATTTCTCATACATGGCGCTACGGCTAAAAAGTCGTTGCAAAATCAAATGCGAAGGACAACAAGGACATAGAAAAATTCGTGAGGTCCGCTGGTTCGTTCGTGGCTTAGTTGGCATAGCGTTTGGCACGGTTTGCTAGGAGAAGCCGGTTCGAATCCGGCCGGATCGAAGGAATTTTTTCTAAGTGTTCGATCTTTTATACGAGACTTTGGTCCAAGTACTTCAGTGAGCTAGATACTTTGGCCCAAGTACTTCAGTGAACTACTGGACATGGGCTTTGCAATAGTACATTGTGTATTAAAGGCGGTAAATAAGGTATTACGAACGAAACTCCCTATTAGAAGCCCGAAATCGAAGACCGAGGGCTTTCGGAGTCGATGTTCGTAATTCCCGTACCACAATTGCGAGGAAATAAATACAAAGATAAATAAATATCGCATAATTAAATTACGCAGGAAAAATAAGTATCGTTTCACAACCAACGATATTTATGTACAACAATTAGGATTTTGCAAATAGTGGGATTTGTTTTTTTTTCTTATAAACAACTGGCCAACTATTCTTCCATAGATAATAGTTTAGGTTCCAACTCGAACTAAAATGTTGTAAAAGGCAAAACCGCATGCAGCCATGATATATATAAACTAACATAGTAAAATATGGTTAAATTGCAAAAGTTTAGTATATTTTGATATATATTATACTTCATGCAGCTTATGCGAAATAGATTTTTCGAGCATCAAAACTACTTAATCTTGACGTTGAGAAGTACAATGCATATCGAGTTCTTAGGTTTTCGCGATTGTTACACATAGGAAATGAAACTATTTTCCCGGATTCGATACGCGATTTAAATCCGGAAAAATAGTTTCATTTTCTAAGTACAATGCAATTAAAAAATAAATCATTTCTGCCATAAGGCGGTAATGCAATGAAAATACCCGTGGGCGTATTTCAGAACATTACGGTCGACTTTGCCTGCATGTTACGACATTATTTACGAACAAGTGTGATGAAAAATATAGTTAAATGCCCTGTCTCATCCACCAGTAACAGTAAGAGCATATTAATTAACTACTCACCCAATGGAGTTGTCGGTGCGGTTGGCGATGGTCTGTATCTGGTAGACGCGCTCGACGGGTGGCTCAGGCGCGGGGAGGGGAGGTAGCGGTGCGGGGGGAGCGCTCTCACCGCCCGTTAAGACTATGTTCACCTCGCCAGGCTTCAAACCTGTCAACAACATTTGTTTATTTACATTACAACATTAAAAATGATAAAATATAGGAAGTGGATCAACGGGGGATTGTGTGTTGTTAATTGTAATCCAATTTCTCTGCATATAGAACAAAGAATTTATCAGCAGACACATTCTGCAAATACACATACACTATTTATAGTATTTACGTATTGCGATTTTTATACAGCATCGCGGAATTGTTCCTCGATTATGGGAGTACAGTACATTATGGGAGTGACAATATTTCAATTCTCTCCTAGTTCATCTTCGAACTAAATGGTCTGGATTGACGTGGATTGTAGAGGCGAAAATTGAAATATTTGTTGATGTAATTTTGAACCGTATTCCTGTCTCCGTAGAGTATTATACTCTGCAACGGAAACACGATTTCCCGCGAGCGCTTGCATAATCTCGCGCGATCAAGCGCGAGCTCGCAATGGTTATTAATATCAATCACGAGATTGTGTTGTACATACGATTTCAGACAAAAAAAAGACGGTTTTCCTTTTATTCTTCTTCCGTTAACATATTAAATACTAACAATTTACGGGACATGTTTTCTCACAACCATAGCGCGAGCTCACATGAGATCGCGATCGCTGTTAGCGGCAATTTTTGGTGGAAATAGGTCGGCAAGATTTCAATTCTCGTCTCGTCACATCTCGTTTCGCCGGTGGAAACCCACCTTAACTCAAAATTGTGGATTTGAGAAGACACTGAATAAAACTAATGTATATTTTCTCGTTTATAAATGGATAACTAAATACAATTTTCAGTTATAACAGTATATGGTTTCATATGCGAAATCTGAATTTGAGGCACACCTGTGGAAATAGCCATAAACACATTATTACGTCATTTTTTAAGGGCGACTATGCGAATGTTTGCGTCCGTACGCGGCGCGCGCACATATACAAGCCGCGCTGCTACGTTTGTATGGAGTTACACTACTTGTCTCATACTATGCTAGAACTGACGAGGTATCTCACCCCATCTGGATGGCCGCTGCAGCGTGTGGTGCTGCCCCTGGCCAGCGTCTAGCGACTGCGAGGCGCGCCAGTCGCACTTGATCTCACCGCGGCTGCGCGCGCGCACCACCGTCTCGATGCGCCGCGACCCGCCCGCACTCGAGCCCTCCGCCGCGCAGATCTGTCGGCGTACGATAGAATACAAATTCATTCAACACTAGTTAAAGCCATAGCGTGGTTCGTGAGCATCATCACCTAACTTTAATAGCGTAAAAGAGTTCTAAAGTACTGAAAGCATATGCTAAAAATATATATAAGATAAAAATCCTTCCTTAACGTCACCGCATGTCAACAACTTTTTTATGTTTTCAAATGTGGATTGTATATGGAATGTCCTAGGGACTTTACTTCCATTATACCGCTAGATGGCATTGCACATATTTCAATACTTTCCGGAGTCGCGATGTTTGACCTACTTGTTATAAAGGAAACGGAAATTTTACACGAAAACAGCTGTATTCAATAAAATACTTTACACATTGATTTCATTTGAAACAAATTAATTCTGAAATAAGTGTCCCTGCCGCTCATATTACTTCAGGAAAAATGTGAATTCGAGCTCAGGTAATATAGACTCTTAAACTAGTCCTTGTTATTGAAACAACCTGTCTAATACGAGCGTGCGGGTTAACGCGAGTTCTGCTTCACACAGCGAACTGTCTGTCCATACTGTGCAGAAGAAAACAACTATTTTTTTACTAGTTATGGGACATATTTAACAGTAACTGACCTGACTGGCAACATCGCTCTGATACTCCATAGCCATCTGTTCGTACATTTCATAGTTTTCATAGCCCTCAAATTTATTTTCCTCTTGACTGGCCATGACGTCACGGAAGCTGTAGTTACTGTTCTGCGATGAGGGCCGGAGGTGGCTCTCGTCTTTTTCGTAGGCCTCCTTGCTGCAGATCGACTCTTGGGATGAACATTGGGAGTCGTCTTGACGTTGTGGTTCGGGTTCCTAAAAAAAACTTGGAAACTAACCCAAAGCTAATAATCAAGTGACACAAGATGGTCAGTCCGTTAGTCGGTCAAGCACACATAGCAAGCCGGAGTAGAACAAGGGCACACCAATATGAAAACAAAATAACTTTCATTTATTAATCTTGTGAATGAAATATTATTATAAAAAGAGCATGTTTTGTCTTATACTGACAAAATCAACTAAGACAAAACTCTTAGTTGATTTTATTTCAATTCAATTGTATTGTTTTTGTGTTATATTACGTGGTTACTCCGACATTTGTGGACCGAACTGCTTGGGGTACACCGAGTACACCGAAAAACAAAAGACTATAAATAAGGCACAGATTTTGACTTTTGTTCGATTATGTACTTTATTCTTATGCGGTTGATGGAGAACTTGAATTGCATCGTCTTGAAAAAAATCCCTTTGCAGTTGTTGTAATACAAATAACACTTACCTTCAAAGGGGCTGAATGGACTTTCTCAATTTCCTGGTACGTCGAATCCTGGCTGTCGTTCAAATCGAATCTGTTCATCAAATCTACCTCAGTATTAGCTACCTCTACACTCTCTACCTTGTCCTCAGTCTCTTCGCTCTCCATCGGTTCAATCCTTTTCTGTTCAGTTTCAACTGGTTTAGTACTAGATGCATCTGATTGATTACTGCTCTGGCTTTCAGAAATCTCCGGTTTTTTCAGTTCATCTTCTTTTTCTTTTTTGATTTGGATGTTTGTACTAAAGTCTTGTTGTAGTTCCTGAAATTATTGCATAATACTTAGAGATGGGTCATGGATAAATATCATTGGAATAAATACTCATGATAAATATATCCATTTTTACTCGATATCTATCCAAAAATGTGGATAAATATTTTTATATTATAGATATATTTAGTAAAACAAAGTATATTTTTAAAATACTTTGTGTACCTACACAATTACAAACATTAACTTTTTGTATCATGTGTTTTAATTAATAGATTTTGTGTGTAAATGTGAAAGAGAATCCTTAAGCTATTTCAAGTCCAAACATGACGTTATTTAGTACGCAGTAGACCCCAAGACCATAAAGTTGGGTCGCACTTTATTAACGCAGGATAGGTCAGCTCAAGGGCAACAGTTAATTTGATAACTTTCTGTCAATAGAATTTTTTGTACCACTCGACTCGAAAAACGTTAGTAGAACTGTACTGTTACATAAAAGAATGGCAAAAACGTAATTATTTAATAAAATATTAATTCTAATTAATTTTATTATAAAAAACGCAAAAAAATAATTATCCGTTTTAGGATAAATACTCAGTAAAAACGGATATTAATCCTGCCTTTCAAGCAGAGGGTCGTGGGTTTGAATCCGCGCTTGTACCTCTGAGTTTCTCTGAATTTATGTGCGAAATTTAATTTGAAATTTACGGTAACCTATCACAACCTATCAAAACCGAATTATAACGAAACAGTTGTTCTTTCAGCATATGTTGAATGTTTATCGCAAAGACACGATTAGGTTCGGTTACGTTAGGTTAAGTTAGGTTGAAAAGAAAAAACATTTTCCTCTTAAAATTACTTTCCAGATTATGAAATTTCGACCAAACGTTATTTCTGGCAAATGTCATTTCGGACTACAGATAGGTAACCGAAATTTACCACGAACTTTTCGATAGAGGAAAACATCGTGACCATTGACTTACAATTATATGAACGTCGGGTCCGCGCTAAAAAGTGTCCGAACTTATCGTTAAAATCGTATACAGAGCGTCATTCACGCTTTAGTCTTCGTTTGTTCGACTGACAGCGAAGCAAGCAAAATTAGACAGTACTGCGATGACATTACAATTTAAATTCAACGTTTTAGCTCTTTCATACTCCTTTACATGTCACTACGTTTAAATAGGTTGACTTGGGACATTTTTTTCGTGGTTTTTGTATTAGACCCGTCGTCCATTCTTTTGTAAGTCAATGATCGTGACGAAACCTACACGTGAAAGACTGTTCATAATCATTGGAAAACGTGTAAAGTCCCCAAACAGCTACTTGGTGAACTATGTAGTCCATAGTCCACCAGTTATTTACCTCGCACCTACAGATCTTTAACATTATGAAAATTTAGAGATTAGATTGTTTAATAATTTTAATGAATATGAAAAACAACTGTTAGCTTTTTTTAACAAATAGTACTTTTTTACGTTTGATTTTGACGGATTGTTAGTAATTATAGTAAAAAGTAAAATAACATATAAATTTAGGAAATTAAACTATTTTTCCGGATTTAAATCGCGTATATTATTTGTTTTTTCAAGCATTGTATAATTTTTACCAATTCATTGTTATTTTTAATTAATAATGACATAACTACTTCCGTGGCTGAAAGGTTACCATGCTGGACTACCACGCAGAGGTTTCGGGTTCGATTCCCGGGCCGGAAAAAATATTTCTATGGCCTACATTTATTTATTTCGTGAATTTAAGTGTAATTTATGGTTTTCTACCTGTCTGTGTCCATGACACCCGCGATACAGTGTTTCCCAAGTGCGAGGCTATGAGTGTGTGCATTATAATGTACCTTAGTCTAAGAAATAAATAAATAAAAAGAAAAAGTTACCTTAACATTAATAATCTCGCGATGCTTGACGTGAGGGGAGAACTGTTCTCCCCTGTGTTTCTCATCGTCGGTAAGTCGCTCCGTTTTTATGTTGTTCAGAATATTGACGTCGAACAGTTCGTCGCTTTGGGCCGATTCTGAAGTTGACTGTTTGCGCTTTTTCTTCTTGTCCTGAAAAAGAAAGTGATATATTTTATTATAATACCAAGTGACGGGACGAACAAGTATTGTTGTATTGGTGATGAGCGACACGCCTGTCTGTAACATTTGCGTGACACTCATAGCGCTACATTATAAAGATCTGAGGGGCACTGCCACCGCTCCCGTTACCTTGAGACATAAAATGACAAAATCCAAGTGCCTGTATTTTCCTGCCTGCCTGTAATTTCACAAGCACCCTTACCCTTCAAATCCGCAGTAATGCTCACATTACTTGCGTGGACGAACACTCGCTGGGAGCGCTACTGCTACTAAATAAAATTGTAGCAGTGATATGTTTTACCTTTTTCTTCTTCATTATTTCTTTCTTCTTCTTAACTTTTTCATCTTCCGATTCAGAGTCAGAACTGCTGCTGCTGCTAGATGTAGAAGAGCTGCTAGAAGATCTCGCTCTCTTCTTTTTCTTGCCAGCTTTCTTTTTTAATTTCAGCTGTTTCTTCTTTTTCACTTTTTTATCTTTCTTCTTTGCATCTGTGAGATAAATGACAGAAATATAGGAAATAAAAACAAAGAATGTAGCAACGTTTGAATAATGCTTAACACACACACACACACACGCACACACACACAGTACACAGTTTAGTATGTCTATATAGGTTTAAACATATATAGACGTGACCTGTTTTATTATCTAGAGTTGTGTTTAATATAATTCATCATATCAGCTGGAAGACGTCCACTGCTGAACGTAGGCCTCCCTTTAAGATTTCCAGACCAGCCGGTCCTGTTAAATTATATAGTTAAAAGACTACACGTGCTCAAAACTTTTGAAAAGCATACAAGAAGGTAAAATATTTTCTACAGTTTCCAAAAACAATGTTAAAATATTAAATTCTTTATAATAATTTTATCTTCAATATTATTTGAATGAGTGCTATCTCGCGCACACACGGCATATAATAGATAGCAACAATATTAACAAAACTGGTAAAATACTGCTCTATAATTACTGGTCAAATTAGAGCCCACCTCGGTCAGAATGTTTTGGTAAACCTAGGAAGCAAATAAACGAGAGGGAAAAGCGACCGATTTTGTCTTTATACGAACAACTGTTCTCTGATAATGTTCATTCGTCGTTTGGCGCAATGTACAACTTAAACAAATAAGAGCCTCCTGTCTATAAAATATTACACTGGTCCCCTGCCCAGAGTCGTAGATGCCATTTCCATAGCTAGCTTTTATATTTTAAAATAAATAATAAATATAAAAATAAATATTAGACAAAATGACATACGTAGCTCCGATTCCAAAGTAAGTAACTAAAACACTTGTATTATGGAAATCGGAAACAACAACGGTAACACAAACACCCAGACCCGAGACTATATAGAAAAGTTAGTAATTTTACATTGACCCGGACCGAGAGAATTATAAAAAACTAATGGAGTAATTTCACAAAAAAAAATTATTGAATATTCATTCAACACAAATTTAATTAGCTAACCGATTACTTAAAAAAAAAAAGGTGGTAAACACGTTTATTTTAAAGGCCGTTTCCTGACTCGGTATACGCAGTACCGAAAGCTGACCGAGGGCTTATATTTCAATGTGCGCTTCCTGATTGTCGCATACAATAAACCGAAACGATCTCTTCCCACTCCTGTCCAGACCGCGCCAAAACAGGAAATGCACATTGGTATATAGGCGCTCGATAAGCTTTCGGTACTGCGTATACCGAGCATACCGATGGCGCCGCACCGCTACCGACAAATCAGGAAATGGCCTAAGAGTTAAAATGTACTTAAAAGAAAAGCATACATCTATGTCACTACGCCAGCGCTGATGGCTGCTTGAGCAGACTATGGTGGTCACCAATAGTGGCAAGAACTCTCTCTACCAGTCGTAAAATATTCTCCTGTTTTAAGTCACAAGTCAATATAGCGAAAGAATCGTAAATGGGCCAATACCTGCTTCTTCGGTCAAGCAATCCTCATCTGTTGGTAAGCGTGCTAATACAAAAAATTTACAATAAATACATAACAATCAGTTAAAAGCAGGGTTCGAAATTATAAAGAAATTATAACATTCATTAATAATTACCATGATAATTATCTGATAATATATAATATATCCGATAATTATCCATTTTGATTCATAGTTTTGTCTCTTTAACTTTTAACTAAAAATGACAAACAGTGAGAAAACTAAATTAACATGAAGAAAAATCTTAGGGTAAAACGATTTGGTTTGGAACCTTTTGAGATTGACATTTCCACACATTTGGATACGTCTCTGATATAAACAGATGGCACGACTGTAGCATTTTGTTGTTCCGATTAATTTTATAAATATCAAGATAATTATCAGGGTACATTTATCATGATAATTTATGATTGATAATTATGAACGATAATTATACCTTCGAACCCTGGTTAACAGCAGAAACATTACCATAATTCGACTAATTCAGGCTTAAGGCGCAATTTATACAGAAGAAAAATGGTGTGAACGTGCTTCATGAAAATAGGAAATTTTGTCAAAACATGCCAGCCAATGTTTCAAAACGCGGAAATGACCAAATCAGAAGTTTGATACGCCCACACGATAGTCGGGACGCTGTTTAAGTTGCGCGATTATAATGACGTCGTCATCTCTTTCATACAAAAAACGCCAAAGCAGTAATTGATACCTTCTCCTTTCCCTTCATTGGATTCGAGAGGAACTATATCGAAAATTTCGTGAGTGAAGCAAATACCTGCTTCTTCGATTGAGCTATCCTCATCTATTGGCAAGCATGGAAGTAATAAGAAAAATGCATAAGAATTGTGGCCGCTTTGTGTGAGGGGTGAATTATTATTATATGACAACCTTGGTGAAGCTCTGTACAAGATTAAAAACCTTATTACAATCATCAGGTTCTCACCCTATTCAATTTATGACCTACGATGTTAGTATGTAATTACCAAATGTATATGACAAACAGAAAGCCAGATCAAAATATAAGGAATATAACACAGAAAAACTTAAGACTCGTATTTATAAATTTATCTGTAACGCTACATCGATTTGAAGTTCTAAAATCAGTCGGCTTATTAAGAGATATCACTTAAGGCGCTGAATACCGTCAATTACGCTTCACTTTAAAGCGTTATTAGCAATATAATAATGAAAACAGTCGTTGGTTCATTTTTTCCATTTTGAACCTAATTTTGGTTAAAATCCTTTTTTGAGACGCGCGCAAACTGTTGGTAGTTTCTTCTCTTTTCGACGACGAAGGTCGGCACTGATAGTCAGCTATCACGCGTTGCTGGATGGGCCTATGTCGCCCGCACGGCACCTAACTAGGTAATTCATTTCATAATAATTGTAATATAGTAGGCGTGGCTAAAACATCGATAGTTTAAGGTCATCGACGCTTTTCAGCGTCTTAAGTACATGAATGATTAAAGATTACACACAATTTGAGAATTATCAAAATTTCCGCTTATTAGTGTTCACACTAAGCACTCAAACTTTGGTTCAAGGTCATTAGTACATCCCATAGTACATCCTAAGAAATTTAATGCAACGTCTTGGTCACTTGTGACGGTATCTTACACACTTAATACCGGAATTTGGAACTGTTTATTAACACGGACCATTTGTTTATATTTTTTGAAGGACATTGTGCAGTTGGCCGCTGATGGCTTTGACCACCCGACCGGTCAAAAGGGCGAGCTGAAGGCTCTTAGCCCGTATAAAAAATTATTTAAGAAGCGGGTTTAAGGGCACCCAGGTGCACGGACCTCGGCTCAGGACGCTACTGAATACTTCCGCCATAAGGGCGTGTTGTAGGAGTGAATGAATAATAATACGGGCCATAGTGTAGGTGCTATTTATAAATACGGACCATAGTGTTGTCTCAATATATGTGCGACTACGTGGTTGTGTATGTGTAAGTGCTATTGAACACAGCTCCAATTAAACACTACTACACACGGTCCTAGAATGTCTGCATTAAAGGGGTACAATAGCCTTTAATCACAAAAGCGTATATTCGTGCGTCATATAGCATCTAAATTTGCTCGCAATGAAGCTGGAATGAGAAGCAGGACAATGAACAACACTTACGTTATGCATATTGTCATACGCTGTATGCCCTTTTTAAATAAATAATGGAGTCTAATTTTACTCGTAACTACAATGTAATTGAATATAAATCGAATATCAGATTCGATCAGTATCAATGCTCTTTGAGTAACGAATGTATTTCTGTGAAATCGCCCCCAAATATGACACCTAAAAATCTGCTTTTTTTTTTAAATTTGGAAATTTGAACGCTGTGTAAAAGACGTTACTTACAATTGTTAACCTCCGATACAAAAATAGGGAAGTAATAAGTTTGAAGCATTTGTGCGTGTATGTATTAATTTTTTATAAAATACTATTAACAAATGGTTTGGTTATATTGTATGTCTTTAAATATGGTCCGTATTAAGTAGTCGTAGGGTCGTATTCCAGAACTCTACTCAATGCTCAAGTCAAGATTTGAACAGACTTGAGTATGATTTCAAGCACTGGAAATACTACCCTAATGGCAAGGACCTGAGTATGACTTCTAGTGCTTTGAATCATACTCAAGTTTTGACTTGAGTATTGAGTAGAGTTCTGGTATACGACCCTAAGGGTCGTATTATAGACCTCTACTTAATGCTCAAGTCACGATTTGAGCAGACTTGAGTATGACTTCAAGTACTGGAAATACGACCCTAATGGCAAGGACTTGAGTATGATTTCTAGTGCTTTGAATCATACTCAAGTTTTGACTTGAGCATTGAGTAGAGTTCTAGAATACGACCCTTAATGTTAATTTTAAAAAGACAATTATGATAAAGAAATAGGTTTCGCAATAATCGTCTTGTCTGGTATAAGTACCATGAGCAATTCAAAAGTAAAAGTAAATTAAATGCAGGTCGTTTAATGAATTGTAATAAATAATCAAATTTAACAATGTGATAACCGATCATTGACTTACAATTATATGGACGTCGGGTCCGCGCTAAAAAGTGTCCGCACTTGTAAGGCGCTAAAATCGTATACAGAGCGCGACACTCCGCTTTAGTCTTCATTTGTTCTACGGACAGCGCGATACTGCGATGACATAACAATTTAAATTTCGAATAGGTTGACTTGGGACATTTTTTTCGTGGTTTTTGTATTAGACCCGTCGTCCATTTATTTGTAAGTCAATGTAACCGATACTCAAAAATAACAAAAAAAAAAACAAACCTGACTTGAGCATTGAGTAGAGTTCTAGAATACGACCCTAAAAGTACTATTTTTCAGGCTAATTACGTGTGCCATTATGAACATCAGTTCAGCGTGCATTTTAGGCATCAGCGAGCAATATATCATTTATTTAGGCATGTCGAATGTACATATTAAAAAGGCGCTAGTATTGGCTCATTATTGATGAAATAGATAAGAAATTAATACGCTAACTTCCGATTTGTTACATCACGAATTTAAAAGTTTTTCAAAATAATGATATTCATATATTTTTTAATTACCTTTATCTATATCATCGTCGAGTGGTGAATCTTCTTCAATTTTTGAATTCTTCCTCTTCTTATTCTTGAGTTTCTTTAGCATTTTCTTCTCCATTCGTCTCCGTTTAGCTGCTTTTAGTTTGGCTAGTTTGTTGGCCTATCAAAAACAAATATTTTATATTAGTAGACCGCACTGCAATGGTATATAATAAGAAAAAGGGATGTTTTAATATGATGGTATAACTGCCGCCCTGACCGAAAGGTTACCATGCTGGTCTGCCACGGAAAGGTCCCGGGTTCGATTTCCATGCCGGGAGAAATATTTGTATGGTCTACATTTATTTCTCTCGTTAGCTTGGATGTAATTTGTGGTATTCTAAGTGTGTCCATGGCACTCGCGATGCAGGGATATGTAGGTGTACGTAAAAAATTACAAAAATGTTATTGAAGATGTCATGTCGATGAAAAGTATTTAAAAAAAAATTTATTTCAATCAAAATTTAGATCAATAATATATTTTTCGTGAATATACTCCACTAGTTTATTGTTATTGACACAAATACCGACAAATTCTTTCAATCCGGCTGTAATTGAACCAAAGACCTCGCCATACCGGCGCTATCGCTCTCCTAACTGTGCTACGAAACGACTAAGCAAACCTTTAATTTCAATGTGTTTATTGCAGATCAAAACGCCTACAAACATAATTTGAGCAATCCACAAACCGAGACATTGCGCTTTAAAAGTGGTAGGCACTTATTATGATTTCTTTTTATAATTCATAGTTGCTATATTTCGACTTTTAACTTATTTTTTAGAAACATTCAAAAGTATTTAAGTCATTTACAAGTTTTGTCCAGGGTTTAAAAATGATTCTAAATTAATAATAATAATAATAATAACGCACACACTCAACATAGCCCCGCACTAGGGAAACCCTGTGTCGCGGGTGCCGTGGACACACACATAAACAACCACAAATTGCACCCAAACTCTCGAGAGAAATAAATGTAGGCCATATAAATAATTCTCCCGGCCCGGGAATCGAACCTGGGACCTCTGCGTGGCAGTCCGGCATGGTAACCGCTCGGCCACGGAGACAGTCAATTATCAATAAGTATTTGTTGTAATTTTATTTTATTTCTATACATGCTATATAGTGAGATCTCGGTCAGTCTACATGCTATGACGTATGTAAATAATAAAGTAATGGCTAGCAAACATCATATTAAATGTGTGAGAAAAATGTAAACCGTATCGCACCTTTTTCTTAGACGACTTGCTCTTTTTCTTGACTTCTTCAACGCTGTCGGACTCGGTGGAAGTGGAAGAAGATGACTGTTTGCGCTTTCTCTTTTCTACTGGCTTTTCTTTGTCTACTTTCTTCTTGCTGAAAACAATATACACCAGGCCATCGGTTTACTAATAATGTATAAGGCATATTGCGCATTAAAACGTATAACAGAGATATATTTAAATAAAGGTTTTTCTTATTTTGACACACACACACACACCGATACAGGGCGTCTCACGACTAAACACTGCTGGCATGGCTCTTCTCAGGCGCGGGTTAAATTTAGGCTCTAGTTCGCCACGCTCTGGTCCAATGCGGGTTGGGGACTTCACACGTTTTCACGAGGGTTGTGAACCTTCTTCGACATGCAAGTTTCATCACGATGTTTTCCTTCAACATGGGAGCCATGTGACTGGAGTGAAAAACACATGGTAAATTTCAAATTAAATTTCGAACATAAATTCCGAAAACTCAGTGGTACGATCCCGGTTTCGAGGCCACTGCCTCTGCTTGAGAGGCGGTAGGTCAATCGCTACCACGACTATTTTTATAATTCAGAGTCAGAAAAAATAAATGTCAACTTTTGACAAATTAATCATCATCAGTCATAGACCTTGTCCTGCTTGAGCTACAACTACAACGTTAGACCCTGTAATTTCCAGCCACTCCCTGTCGTCATTTTGAGTCGTTGTTACTCGACCTGGCTAAACAGCTGATACCTTTTTTCCACCTCCTCCTCAACTTCCGACTCCTGGCTCCAACAGCCGCTGCTAATCTTCATCTTCTTCGCCTTACGTTCATCATCGTCTTCTTTCTTCTTTTTCCTGCTTTGCTGCTTCACAGGTGTTGTACTGCCAGGTGTACCAGTATCTTCCGCGTCTACTGCTTCGGGCCATACTGCTTCCATGAACCTGACAAAGTGATGATTTTTTTAATTTCACCAATATATTGACGTTTATTTTCTTTGTTGTGAACTGAAATTACAAAAAAGGACTATCGAAAGTAGTTTCTTTATTATATATTCTTCAAATTTAGAACTTTAGTGTTACAACTATACAATTTATCTATAGGTTTAAATTAAGATAGCTGTTAAGTTTGAGAACTAAACCAAACAAACTAAAATTTCTAAACAAATAATTTTTTTTTCATCATTTAAGTTAAAAATTGAATTTGTACCGTTTTACGTACATTTATATTCATCAATTACGTTATGCATAAATAATAATGATGAAAAGAGTACAAAAGTTTCACATCTTCATTTTACCTACGATAACAGAGCTACGACAGTAAATAATCCCACTGTATATAGATCTGTCATAAATCTATTGACTAGTATTACAATATAAAAAATGTGGTGACTGTAGCCTAAATCAGATTATGATATGCACACAGGTTTCCAGAAGAGAGTAAAGATTATGGCGAAAATGTATGTGAGATTGTAAAAAAATGTGAGCTTACAAATCATCTAAAATATATCCAAAAGTAATTTATAAATTATAGGTACTTATTTGATGTTTACCATTCAAATTGCGTGAGATAAATCAATGATTTTATAACCTCTCTCGACATTTTTCAATTTTGCAAAAAACAAAAGACCATCAACAAAATTAGACGTAAGAATTTAATTTTGGAATTAATTATTGTCAAAAATAGAAACAACGAAAAATTATGTAAAAATTCAAGTGTCGAATTAGAACTGTTTTTTTAAACACGAAAGAGATCCATATATATACTGTTGAAATAAGTGTAAAAGAACAATGGCAATACCATAGTGAAATTAATTCGTTAACGTCTTCAAATATCTTAATTACAAGTTTGAATAAAATAAATTCATTAGGTTTTTCAAATTATAATAGCGGCGTAAATCTGAAAATAAAATCATATGTAAAAGAAACTAATAACTAAGTAGTACGTAAACGTACTGATATCTACAACTGTCAGTTCTTTAGTTTCTTAACGTTCAGCGACAGTCGCCAAAAAAAGAACTTCAGTATCTATGTACGTATGGATTTATGGTCCACATTAAGTGAGCTCACGTAATATCAAATTTTAATTTACTGATTCGACCTATTTGTAATAAGAGATTTAAGTACATAATTCATTACGAAAAATAAAGTAGATAATTCCTTCTCCAAAATGCCACACGAGAAAATGGTAAAACCGACAAAAAAGTTCCCGAAATCAGGGATAGATGGCACGTTTCACAAAAAAATAATTTATGTCCGAGTTGCCAGCTTAAACTATATTTTTTCCATCCTCTATCTGTGGTATGTATTAATTCACTCAGTTTTATTTTGTTATGGCTTAACTTCACGCCTTTTGACCATACCACTATAAAAAATAATTTCCTCTGAAGTTTCGTCACGTCACAAGCCAACGGCACCATTCAGGTTCTATTAACTCTGTTTAAGACTTCTGTGACTATTTTATTCAACTACGTGACACATAACCTTCAAAGCCTCAAACTAGAATATCTTTAATTCCAGTCTTCTCAGAATAGTAAACCCAAAACAAAATTTGTTCAGGAACTTTAACTCTATATTTTGACATATGTCTCATAAACAGACGCATACCAATTATGTCAACAAAAAATTATATGGGAGTTTGCTATTGTTCTTTATGAGAATGATTTGTAAACGAACCAAATTTTCTGAAATAGCTGATGCCTGCGTCTTCGTCTCGTAGAATAAGTACTTTGAGTAGCCTGCTATACTAATTTTCATAGTTTTATTGATTCTCCACACAAACTTTCATCACCAATTTCACCGTCTTTCAAATTGATTTTTGTGACCAAAAAGTAGCCTATGTCCTTCTTCTAGGTCCTATCTATCTCTGTACCAAAATTCATCAAAATTGGTTCAGCGGTTTAGGCGTGAAAACGTAACAAAGTAACTTTCGTGTTATAATACTAGTTTGAATTTGTAAACCAAACATTCTAAATTTGTCTCAAGTAATGATAAAGATAGTGTAATGAATGCTTATTTTTCTTATTTATATTTATATTTGTCGTCTAAAAAAAACTCATCGTTTTATCCAAAAACTAGATCGTAATTAGTTTTTTTTAATAAATTTGAACCGATATAGTCACCCGTCACCACATTCGATACACAAAATACAGTACTCACTTCTGATATTCCAGGTCCAACAAAACTTCCTCACTTTTGTCTGGCGTGTTGGATGTCCTTGGCTCAGGCTTGGAATGGCTGTCCTCGATTTCCCAATCGCTCGAATGAGGCAAGGTCACGCTTTCCGAGAGACACACGTTGACACGGGGGTACCAGCCCCGTGCGGGAGGGTACGGCACTTCGGGGGACCTAGGACGGAGAGCCTGATAAATCTACTTAGTTTTTGAAACATATTACAAAGACAAACGAAAACAACGAAATAAAGGGAACGATGACCCCTTTTTTAATTAAAAAAAAATGCACTACAATTCACACAGCTTTTAATTCTAACTTTCAATCATGTTATTAGTTCTTTGTGAGTTGCAGGGAGATTTTTGAGGGATTCCGTTCCAACTGAGGCGAATCAAGCGTGTAATTTTCTTCTATTTTTTTTTTTTAGTTTATTGGTTCACTTACAGTTCTTACAATGTAACATACTATAAATTAAATTTGGTGAGGATCTTATCTACCTTGCACAACTGCTCATGAGTGAACACTAAATTAAGTTGAATTTAAAAAAGGCAACTTATTTTTTTTAAGTTATACAAACAGAAACAATAAATAAAAGTGAACAAGGCTCTCGGACAGTACCAAAGTAGACGGGGAAAAAAATTAAATAACGTTTAATATATTGAGTAGTAGTATTATAATACTATTACGAAATTTGTGCAGTAACTGCCAAAATATATCGCTAATGTGATTTTCCTACCGTGGTTTTTAGTTTAACTACAATGTTTTTTCGTTTATATTTCTGTTTCTATTCGAATGATTATTAAAATATTATATTATATATTTATTTACATTTAGTATATTAAGATTGTAAAATATATCGCTCCGTCTACGTGTACGTTTATTTATATACTTGTATAAACAAAATTTTGTCTGTATGTATAGGATTACGTATGTATAAATGTTACGAATAGAGCAACACTCAAACAAACTCTTTTGGGTTTAAGAGTGCCAAGTATCTAGATAATAAATTATTGTAATATGAGTAAGTAAATAAATAAAATTAAAAAATAAATAAAATGTAATTGGCGAAGCGATATAATAACAAATTATAACGCACACTCATAGCTCCACACTAGGGAAACCCTGCATCGCGAGTGCCACGGACACACACATAGACAACCACAAATTACACCCTAACTCACGAGAGAAATAAATGTAAGCCATACAAATACTTTTCCCGGCCCGGGAATCGAACCCGAGACTTCTGCGTGCCACAGTCCAGGATGGTAACCGTTCGGACACGGAAGCAGTTATTGTGCGCAAAAGAACGAGAAGCCTTAGTAAGTGTCAGATTGAACAGTATTTTACAATGCTTACATTTCACTCCCATAGATGTTATTGACAAGTCCCATCTTGCACATCTCTAACTCCTCATATACCACCAAACGATCTTTCACACATGAACACAACTTTGGGTTCTCCGTGTACCATATATTAGGTTTTGTGCGAGTTTCTCTGAAAATACACGGATGCATAATTTAGTACAGCGTAATTGGGGTAAGCAGTGTAAAATTTCAAAAGGAAAATTTTGGTTACTTAAAAGAATTGAAGAAGATATAGATATTTTAAAAGGCAATTTTACCTATAGCATTTGTTTTTATCATGCCTAAACAACAAAGGTTGACAGATTTTCATTACGAAACTCCAAGTTTCCAAAGAATCGACTGTCGACTCCGTCATTTTATTCTGAAGATCTCGGTCTATTTCTTTCTCGATCGATGATCGTAAACTACTGGATCTGTTTCGAGATTTATCAGATTTATATGAATTATCTGATTTATACCCACTTTCCATAGATTTCCTACTATCTATTGATTTATAATCACTCGAGGCATCACTGCGATCTTTATTTTTATTATCTATCTCTGGAGTAACAGAGTCTACACTAGCTTCTTTATGAGGCGAATCATATTCAACTAAACCATGGCTTTCCTCATCTGAAACATGTTCCTGCTTAATTTCATTAATAACAGACTCTAAAAACGTATCATCATTCATTTCGTCTTTGTCCCGATAGTCGAATTTCATAGGTGATTCATACATGTTATTTTTTTTATTGGGTTTCTTTTTGGCGAATCTCTGTATGTCTAAGCCTTCGTCAAATATGTCTAATACTTCTTCCTCGTCTTCGTTAGGATCAATTTCGAATTTGAAGGAATCGATTACTGGTTTTAATTTCTCAATTTTCACTTCTCTTGGACTATCAACTGCTTTTTCCTTTTGTTTTAGACTTTGCCTTAATTGGTCCATTGGATCTATATTCTTAACTTCTTTAACTAGATCTGCTGTTGCTACTTTTCTATTCTTCTCTTTATCTTCGACTTGTGGGCTGCAGGTCTTATCATCATTATCTAAAGACCAACTATCACAAACAACGAAATCATTCAAATTGACATCAGTTTCTTTAACATTTACAGCGTCCGAAACTCTCTCTACAATTTTGTCTTTTTTCGATTCTTCTTTTTTCTTACTCTTGTCATCTTTGGATTTTATTCTTTCACTATCTTTGCTCTTATCTCTGTCTTTATGTTTGTCATCCCTATCTTTAGGTTTCTCATCTTTATCTCTATTAATCTTCTCCCGATTATCTTTTTCCTTGTCACGCTCTCTAAATCGCTTATCATCTTTATACTTATCTCTGTCGTCTCTTCCAATATTTGTCCGCTTGTCACTTCTATCTTTGTAAGTTCTGTCCCTGTCACTCTTTCTCCTATCCTTATCACTCTTCTTTGCATCGTCTTCTTTCTTCTCTGGAAATTGGTGTTGCGCAGGATCTTCTTTCTTTCTTTGAAATGGATTATCATAATCTGGTACAAACTTTTGATAGTCAAATTTAAATTCCCGACCTTCAGCTTTGGCTTTTTTCGCTTCTCGAATGATTTCATCCAGTTTTGCTGAATCTGAAAATGTATCACATTATCATAAATATATAGCGGTCATTATTACGTAAGATTTAAAGCTATTTACTTAGTACTAATGAATGTATAAGATAAATTACATTTAAACTATAATCTAAATTAATATTAGACATGCATAATCAAAGTCGATCCAATAACAGGCTCGAAATTGTTTTACTAAACGTACACATAGTGAGTGACTGAATTGTCAGAATTTAATAATAAAAGCCAGTACACAGCAACAGATAAAAGGGTTCTCTAATTTTGTGAATGTTACAATAGTGAAAACGGAAAAATTACAAAAGATAGGTTTATCCGAATCTCATGACATATCGTGAAAACTAATATTAGCAACAATGTTATTGGAATAAAGCGTTCTTGATAATTGTGAGTTCTTATCAACGAAAGCAATTATGGTAAAGTGATTGCGCTATTTTCACTTCGACTTGGCCATTTTTTTTAAATTATGTTTATTTACTTCATAATCTTGGATTACAGTCCATGATCTTGGATTCCAGTCCTTCGCTCAAAATATTAAAAATAATAAACATAGATAGTAATACAAAGAAGCAATATGATCTGACGTTGGAAGGTTTTTCTTTATTATTTTACTTTTCTACCATCCTGTAATTTTGAGTTGCATATTCAATACAAAATGTTGTGTAAGTGAACAATAAATTCCAAAAATTCAGTTAACTCAAAAGTTACTAACAACTAATTCTCATTTATAATGTAACTTACTACTTTTTAACTACATATACAACAGGTAACTACACTACAAAATATAAACAAAAAGCATTGAACCAATTGTTTATCCTTTTTGACTTACTATTGGAACTCCTGCGTTTGCGTTTAGAACGACATTGGGATACATGGGTTCGAAGGCGAGGGACACTGATCTTGCGCCAGTTGCGCGAGCGCCGAGGGTCTAGAATAGGTAATAAGCATTCCACATGCCTCTAAGAGGAATGTCTAGGAGGGCAGCAGGGTTATATTAGATTGTGACTTAATGAAATCACTATGTGGCGATCATAACGCTTAATTTTGTTTAAAGTCATTTTAATAAACATTGAAAAATTGCAAAATATAATAAATATCTACAAAAGCAAATATTCACTTCAAAGTGTCACACACTGTTCATTTCTTATAGTAAAGCATAAGAAAAGAACATCAACCTTGAATCGAATTAAAATAAAGACGTAAAGTGATATTATACTGCCGTCCTTACCATAAACAACGTAATAGACATTTTTAGCGAATTTGAGTTATTATCTCGAATCAGCGAAACAAGATCTACTGCCCCTGTAAACGGTTTTTTAACTTATTTAGTTTCAGTTTTATTGATGAAAAAAAAAGTAAGTGCCAATAACTGTAAAGTTACAAAAATGCAAATGCGTTGTTCATGACAAGGAGGGTAATATAGGTAACACGTATTAAGCTGCGGCTTTGATGTCATCAACATTTTACTGAGAGATAAAAATTTGTATTTAATTTCAAATGCTAAATATGCCATAGATTAATACACAAACATGTAGCAAACAAAATAATGGGAGGCACCAAGAATAGACCAGTTTCCGCAAAGTCATAAGAAGTCAATGTGTAAGTCTTACGAACATCGGCATGTATATATGAAAGAGATAGGTAGGACTCGAGGCGCAGCTGTGGTGTAGGTGTCTTTGTTACATATTTAGCCAATCGAAATCTATAAGTAAAGAATTTTCAATAATTTGAAAGAACTTCTAATTAAGGGTCACACAGATCCCGAAAAGTTAGCACAAATCAGCATCCAACTTAGAATTTATATGAGAAGTCATCAGCACCGCAGCCGAGTGTCGCGGCTAGTATGGTCACGAATTACTTTCCGTATAAGGACTAATATTGATGTATGGGATTGACCCGATACTAAGCACCTCGAGTCAAATGAACGTTGAATCAGCACAAACTACTGTCTGAACAAACATTTCAACATTGATCAACATCAGGTTTGTTTTACTATTTCCAAAATGATATTGACATTCAAATAACATTTAAATTAGCTGTCCCACCCACCAGATTGGTCAATTTGTTCGCCAAAACTAACGTCCATAGATGGTGCAGCATTTATGCCTGTGTGTTATCAAATGAAATGGTTAAAGTGATGATTAATCTTGAGGTCCTTCGGAACTTGTGATTCTTGCCGCTATACTCTGAAGACTTCTTCAAGAGCACGATACAGGCATTGAGTATACAAACCAGAAATAGAACGAAATGTCATTTAATTTGTTTGTAAATTATTCTGCCAAATAATTACGGTGATAACTGCGCTCCGATTGGCTAGCTCGAATTCGAAACAAGTGATTGATGTCGTCAATTCTTTCACTTCAAATCGACCAGTTTAACTTGAGTTTTGGTATATTGGACGAAAATTGAAAAATAACATATTTAATTACCGATGAAATGTGATTCCGTTTGTTATGTAATTAGATGTATTGCAGTTTTTCCCACACCACCGAATGGAACAGCCCCCCATTGTCAGTGATATCTTTATTACAATAAATGTAGACTATTTTTGGAATGTAAGGAGACGTACACGCAGATCAGTTGTTGGTGCTGTACTATTTCAGCTTTCTAATTTGTGATTTTAGTGCAAACGAGAATTGATATTTAAAAATGATATAAGGCCTATTTGCCTGATGAGTTGCTAGGGACGGATAGACATTATTTCGTCTCTATTTCTGGTTACATAGTCGATGGATGCAGATAATACGCCAAAATCCATTAAGAAAACACATCGCAATTTTAGAAACTAGGACCGAAAGAATAAACCGTAATGCGTGTTGAGTACTAGCAAATTTATATTGATGAACATACCACATGTTTTTTGGTTACCGATGTCAGCACCTTTTATCAATACAGACGCCTATAACGGTTAACTCTTTCGATCTCTGCTTAGAAGTATCACACAAGTAAAGGATAGCTAAAAATCACTCTCTTAAGGACACACAAGGTTTGTGTGATAAAATGCGGTCGGTACTACCAAGTACCACATCCATAGTACAACACTATACGGAGGACAATCCACATGGCGAAAACTGTTGTTATATCGTCAGGAACACGGTGTAAAACACACAACGTGCCATCGTGTCAATCATTTTACCACCATATTCTAATAACATACCCTAGTCTATTATTGGCGCATCGGAATGTACAAACTTCTGCTGTTTGTAGTTCAACTAAGTTAGAAATACACATTTTACATAATTAAGTGGCGTAGTATTAGATGCAGCAAATGATAAATATGTATATTAAAATCATCTAAGTTAAAACAGGTCAATAAACATTGGCACAAGAGGCTTATCTCAAATCACACACAATACGAATAAGCACAGCGTGCTTATGCGTGCTTCTAAGTGGGTTTTGATCCTTAGACGCAAGCTACACTACGCCACATGTGTATTCACATGTGGCAAACGATAATTCTTATGTCAGTAATTTTATATAGTTGTGACTAAAAATGATTATAAGAAGAACTGCTGGAGTAATAAATTTAAAAAATGAGCAACATACCTAAAAAAGTCTTAATAGGAGGCATTGCCTTAGTAGGCATTGCTTTTTCAGTGGCCTGAGGAGAAATTAGGCCGAGCGGAATACCCAATTCCACCAACTCCATTTTGCGCTTCATATTTTCGATTTCGGAAAGTGTCTTCTTTTGAATATCTGTATATTCTGTAAGTTAATAGCATAATATTACATTCACATTTACGTCAACAAAATACAAATTGCTTATGAGCTGACAGAAACGTAATGACAAAATGGCGTATGGTATTTTATTCTTGAATAATACATAATATGTCTAATTTGATAAAATAAACATTTAATTACAGCAGAGAAGTGATGAATGAGAAAATTATATCACATAATAATAGTTTCGTTAAAATGAAATGGAACAACATCGGTAGGGCTAGCACGATAAGGCGCGACTTGTGCGAGACCGACATAAAGCGCGAGATCTCGATGCGACAACAGCAGTATCTCGCGCTTTATGTTGCTCACGCGCTAAGTAGAGCCCTATCGTGCTAACCCTACTGCAAATCTCTATTCCGTAATCCATTCAGCTTCGAAGCTCTTACGTTTCTAAATAATACAATACAAAAATTATGCAGTTCCATGAGCCTGAATACCTATTAACAGTTAATAACATGTTAGTTTGTAAACAAATATTAATGACATTTTTACTACAAGTTAGCAAAGATTATAAAATACAGAGTGGAACAGAACGACCGACAAATCCGAAAACTGTGAAGAGTCTTTAATATGTGCTTAATTGTACTAAAAGTCTTTTTGCTCTAAGTGTAATAGTTTCTGAGTTATTCAATGATAAAGATTTGCTTGTAAAGTCTGTTTTGTCAACCATACACACAGTTGTTGGAGGCAACTACCGGGAGGTACTCAGGGACAAAATATTTGTAATTTAATAGGTCGTTGACCTCCATTGTTGGTCAGCACCCCGTCAGTCGCTTTCTTTGATCAATCATCATGTAAATGATGATTAATTATGCGTGGGTATTTTATTGTATTACCTACTTTGAGAGTAACCCCTAAATTCCGTGTTTGACGACCCAACATTTACATTTACCGAAAAAATGCACCTGTCATATTATAATCTTCGGGAGACATGTTGTTTCTAAACTATGCGTTGTCATAAACTACCTACAACAACTTAAGAAAAGTAAAGTTTTCTAAATGACCCTGTCAGGAGTTCAACTCGTGTTGTCTGCGTCATAAGATAAGAATAACTTAAATAAACTCAACTAAATTAAGTAAACACGTTCTACAACATGCGTCAAGTACTCAAATTACAAAAGTATCGTAACCCTTAATCCGGCCCTAACGTAAAATAGTAAATTAAGGCAGCAAATCACGTCACTTTTCACCGCTTAGAGATGCACACTTGGTACCTGTTATCTGTTTTTGGTAGCATAATCGGGAGATCGTTTTTTTGTCGTACTAGTCTATTTTTCAATGTATTTGGAAATACTTTTATTCAACGAAGAGTTCATTTTAATGAGATCAACATTTAAAACTAAATTTTTTGTTAACTTGAACTGAGTAGTTGAAATTTAAAAAAATGTAATGTAAAAATAAATAAATCGGTTCTTGGAGGTCTGCAGACCACCTCCTCGGTTCGTTTTCTTATTTTTGAGTAACGATTATCACATTGCTAAATTTGATTATTTATTACAATTCATTAAACGACCTGCATTTAACTTACTTTTACTTTTGAATTGCTCATGGTACTTACACTAGACAAGACGATTATTGCGAAACCTATTTCTTTATCATAATTGTCTTTTTAAAATTAACATTTAGATATTTAATAATCACCGATATCCGACGCGTACGCCGCCGCCGCGCGCATCTCTGTGCAGAGTTGTGACTTTGTTCGTTTATATGAGATCAAAAGTGTCTTTTATTTCTAGCGACAAAAAATTTGCTCTTTTTTAATTAGGTGTAATAGTTTAAAATTTAATATTATTTTATGTTAGTATTCAAGAGTTTTTTGCCTGCGTTTGCGTTATTAAATAGTGTTTGTGTTAAGCAAGTAAAGTGTATTAGTGTGTTTGTGTGGAAAACCACATCGGCGTGTGACCGTCACACCCAGAAATGTATCTGGAATATCTGCAAGAGTAAAGGGGACGCGGACAAATCCAACATCTGTTTAATTTATAGTAAGTTCAATGTTTTTTAATTACCTATTAAAGTGAAAACACTTATTTCTTCTGCGAGTGCCAATGACACGAACGCGGCCTGTGGGGCAGTAGATGTACTAACACGATTGATTCGCTTAGGGTTGTTGCACCGCGAAAAGCTTAAATCTGGATGAACATTTTTCAACTGGTTTGGTTTTACATTTAAAGTAAATAAAACTCATGTATGTAAGGTTCTTAACGTGATACTTTTGACTTTGTCGGTCGTTCCGTTCCACCCTGTATATGATTAATTTATTACTTTTTGTATTATTTTCTAATTTTGAATTTAATTTAAATCAACTGAATAATTTGCCATTAAAGACATAAAATTGACAAAATTCGAGTTAGCGTAGTATTAATTGCAGTAGGACTAGCACGACAAGGTGCGACTAACGCGAGAGCGACATTAAGCGCGAGATACTGCTATTCTCGCATAAAGATCTCGCGGTTTATGTCGCTCTGCCAGCCCTACTGGTATCGATATTAGTATAATCAGTTGTCTGCTTTACCTTGCATATTCTTTTTACTTGTGCCAGGTTTGGGCGGCTTGGGAGGCTTCATTTCGTCCTCAGGAGGGGGAAGCCTGGGTGTCACCTTCACATTGCTCAACTTGCCAATGAGAACTGTAGCATCTGCAATAAGGACAATGCAATTAAAAATTAAAAGAAATTTAGATGGGCTACAATAAATAGGGTTCGCAGATTTTGTGCTTAAAATCAATGCAAGAGAAATTCACTGCCAATGTGAAACCTCACTATATTTAACTTTATTTTTATGATACGAGGATGGATTGAAAAGTTCGCGCCCTCACATGGAAGTAGTTTTTTTTTTCATATTATTCTCTTTAATTCGTATATTCATTGATTGTCACTGTGCAAAATTTTATTGGAGTTTAGTGAAACCAAGTATAGCGATTTTCAAAAATAAAGAAAATTGAACAATGTACGGTCATCAAATACTTGTTTAAAAAGATATTAACATTGGTAGAGATCCACAGTAACATGGAAACAACATTATGGGAATCTGCTGGAGCAGACATACATACGCATACAACTATTTAAAAAATGAGTTGCATAATTGAAACGTGTAGGAAAGAGCATTGAAGAAGACCATACTAGCCGGCCCACGGCGTCTACGACTGAGGAAAACATTCGAAAAATGTGTGATCTCGTTATTGAAGTCCAAAAACTGATCAATAAGGAGATCACAGACACTATGGGCATCTCGTATGAACGCACATAAAGTTGAATAAAAATAATAATAATTATGTTTTATGTCCATTGTCATCGATCGAACTTTAATTTTACGAGGTTTCTGCTATGTGGCTCCATTGGATGCTTTCAGTGGACCAAACACACAATTCGGCTCACCATTTCTCGTGACTCTTTCGAACTGTTTGAGGCTGACATGCAAGATTTTTTGAACCAATTTGAGGCTATGAATGAAACCTGGGTTCACCACTACAGACCACAGCCCAAACAATAGTCGAAGTGTTGATTAATCGACCCCAAATAAAGCGAAAAGTTTCGTAGGCTGGCTAGGTGATGGCGTCTGTTTTATTGGGATATTCAGGGTGTCCACATAGTAGACTACACAGTGAAAGGCGAAATCATTAACTCAGCATACTATTGCATCCTTTTGCGTCATTTACGCAAAGAAATTAAAGAGAAACGTGCAGGATTACTCAGGACAAAAGTTTCATCAGGATAATACTCGCGGTCACACTTTTGAATTCATGGTTAAAATTCCTTATTCTGGTTTCGGCCCCCACATGCTTATTCTTCTGGTTTAGCAACTAGGGACTTTCATCTGTTCCCAAACTTAAAAAATACTTCATTCGCCAGAAATTTCCTTGCTATTTAATGCTGCTTTGCATTCTTCAGTCCATAAGGAAGATGGCAAAACTGCATTAAATAGTTATTTTGAAAACCTTGAAGAATCTTTTTTTTATACTGGTGTAGAAGCTTTGGAAAGCTGGCGGAAGAAATGCATTGAGCTAGATGGAGATCACGTCAAAAAATAAAAATATTTTTGCAAGTATTTAATTTTGTTTTCTTGGTTAGGCCGCGAACTTTTCAATGCACTCTCGTACCAAGTAACGGGACGAACAAGTCGTGCGCCTGGTGGTAAACGACACGCCTAAACTTTAAAACACAATTTTTTTTAATAATATCAAGTAATGGAACAAACATGTTGTGCTTCTGATGGTAATCTACACACGCTACAGCTACTATCTGAAGGGCACTGCCACTGCAATCGTCACCCTAAGAGATAAGCTGATAAGTACCATGTGCCTGTAATTCCACCAGCACCCTTACCCTTCAAAACTGGAGCGCAGTAATGTGAGCATTACAGCTTGAGGTCAAAAATAGGTATTACATGCCTATACTATGTTCCACTGTAGGTACCACTCTGAGGCACAAGTCTCATCTTACAGATTGGTTTCAATCAGGTGTCAAGTAACCTGTCTCAGAATCACCAATATATGACACCCTTCAGCCAAAGCTCCTCCTTCATGAAGTTAGATATTCAGTCGGCATCCACCACAAATTGCTCTTATAACTTAATTCACATTTCGAATTAAATTATAAGTAGATTGCTTAACTATGATGAAATCATAGTTAAGCAAAGTCATAGAAAAGCAGAGATTGACCAATCTAATTAAAATCTAATGATTGAGAATTAAGCTTAAATACTAACTTCCTGTGCTAACCGGTTTAGCCAATTGAACTGGAACCAAAGGAGCTTTCTTCTGTATTGAGAATGCTCGGAGCCTTTTCTTTGCATTCTCCACACCCTTAGCCGAAACCTTAGTCTGAACTGGGGAGTAGCTCGCCATTTTGGGGATCTGGAAACGTGAACCATGTTTATGTTATGTTAAGTTTATTAAATATCACAATGTTTTACCCATATCAATTCAATTATTTTATGTGAAATTGGTCCACTAGCTTGTTATAATTATTAATATAATAGTAAGATCAACACTAAGAAAAATTCATTTGATCTGGCTGAACTCGAACCAGCGTGTTCAACATGCCGTGGCAGACACTGTGCTAACTGAGCTACGGAATGAACCAGCAAACCTTAAAAATGGTTGGTACTTGGTGTGGGTGCGTAATGGAAGATATAACAAGAAATATAATCTATTTTTACTTGGTATAATAACATTTGATATAATTTGTGAAGATATAATCACCCACTGTATATAATCAACAAAAGGTATAACAACGAAAGGCATAATTTCAATGTGTATAACAAACCTTCAGTAAAACAAACGTTAGATATAATGATTAAGTGACATAATAAACAAATGGTATAAGTACTACCAGTATAATGTATTAAATAATATAACACAATATTTCAATTCATTTTACGAATAGTTGAAGCGCCCTACAGTATGTTGATAAGATTTTTTTTTTATTCCATTAAATGTACAATCGCAAAATATAATTGTTTTTGTATAGCTTTAAGTACTATTTGTGTTATAAAATATATTTATTAAAATTTTAAGCAGAATATTTAATTACATATACTAACCTAACCTAAACCCACAGGAGGAGGTGGAACCAACTAGCAAATGCAAACAAATTCGATTCCGGCAGCTTTGTGATATACTAACCTAACCTAAGCCCACAGGAGGAGGTGGAACCAACTAGCAAATGCAAACAAATTAGATTCTGGCAGCTTTGTCATATACTGACCTAACCTAAACCCACAGGAGGAGGTTGAACCAACTAGCAAATGCAAACAAATTCAATTCTGGCAGCTTTGTCATATACTAACCTAACCTAAACCAACAGAAGGATGTCGAACCAACTAACAACTAACAAATGTAAACTAATTTGATTCTGGCAGCTATGTCATATACTACCCTAACCTAAACCTAAAGGAGGAGGTCGAACAAACTAGCAAATGCAAACAAATTCAATTCTGGGAGCTTTGTCATATACTAACCTAACCTAAACCCAGAGGAGGATGTCGAACCAACTAGCAAATGTAAACAAATTAGGTTTATTCACCATTGCACCTAAACACCACTTTTTCACACATACACAATCAACATTATACTCAGTGAATGTTATATCTGAAGTGTTTATATAAAATGAACATGTGCCATCAGTATATTAGATTGAAAGTAGTTATATCAATCATCTATTATACCCAGTGACCTCTATACCATGCAAGAATATGTCAAATGTCTGTATACCACAAATTAATTATATCTGTTGAGCATTATATTGACTAAAAATATGTCATTTGTTGTTATATATTACGAATCGCACCCACTTGGTGTACTATTTCGCATCACATGACAGCACGGAAATAAATCTGCCTAACGCAACAATTACCCAATTCTTATAAATTTTTCTTATCATTAATTTGCATTTCTTTTGTGTGTATTCTATTTCATGTGAAATAACGTCATTTTAATTTATAACATACTTTTAAAACTAATTCAAGGTAATCTGTCAAACAGCCTAATCTCATTATTAGAAGTTTGTGCAGTATTTTTCATGTTGCATTCATATCTATCACCTCTCATTTTGGTGTTAACTCCCTACATACATATAACATCCTTCAGACAATCCAGCTATAATGTAAGCTTAGACAATAATTCAATATAATATAATAGCCTATGATGCATTGTCATTGTGCATCATTAATAGGACATGCAACGAATATCGTAATTCACAGGAACACATAACCTAACATATAATTCTTTAAATTATTCTCAAAGTAAACTAATAATAACCAAATTAAACTCACCTGTAATAATTCGGATGAAGAAGTCCCCGGTGGTACAGGTTCGTCTGAGTCTCGGGACTCTGAACCTTGTCTAGGAAAATTTGTATCCATTGTGAATCGGTGCACACCGGACTAGACCATAATTAATATTTTCAACTGCCAAAATCAGTGGAAAAAGTATTTAATTTTTCCTGAAAATACTATTTTCAGAAACAAACAAAAAATTATTAGACTGCCATGGCGATGGCGTTTTGATTTGATGGATTTTTTTGTATCTGTCAAATCAAAAGAGAAAGTTACTGAACGAAAACGACGGAGCCAATAAAAATTTTTTTTCGCTGTTGTCCAACACAGACTTATAAATATAAGTCTGTGTTGTCCAATCATTTTAAATCGCTTTTAAATCTTGTTTTTCTGCAAGACGGTCCATTCACTACCTGCATGGCAGTACACCGCGCAGGCAGAAGACTATTCACCATCGAGTATATAACCAGAAATAGAGACGAAATGTGACTTAATTTGTTTAAAAACTATACTGCCATTGTAAGTCAATGACTGCCATATCATTACTGTGATAACTGCGCTCCCATTGGCTAGCCCGAGTTCGAAACATTGACGGGTGTCGTCAACTGTTTCACTTCAAATCGACCAGTTAACTTGAGCTTTGCTATTATGGACGAAAACTGCAAAATTACATATTTAATATTTAATTACCGATGAAATGTGATTCCGTTTGTTTTGTAATGTTTTGCTGTTTTTCCCATACCACCGAATAGAACAGCACGGCATTGTTAGAGATATTATCTTTATTACAATAAATACAGAATATTTTTTGGAGTATACGGAGACATACACACAGGTCAGTAGTTGGTCTGTCTATATTTCAGTGCAAACGAGAGTATATACCGAGAGTAGTACCAGGAATATATGGCCCTTATTTTGTCTCTATTTCTGGTTATATTCTCGATGCTGCTCACACACTATTCTGTACATACCCCACGTATGGAGTCTCACAGGAAGCATTGCAGGATTGCTGGATGGCTTGCAGCTGCGACTACATTTATAATCCTGCATGACGCGGCGGATAGCAAAGCGGACTGCAATGCAGGATAATGAATGCCCCCTTTGAAACTTGATTTTACACGGGCAAACATTTTAGTCTGATTTTATATGTAACTTAAAGTCATTGATTAATAAGTAAACAATCACATACATAACATATCGTTGTAAAAAATCGTTAATTTTTCTCATTTGATACAATATCAGCTATTTTCCGACATGGTGGCTAAAAATTTTTGTTTTGCTTCTTTACGTAAAATTATAGTAGCACCGTTCGAGTGTTTGACAGTGACGTTTAATTACGCGCCTTTTTGCAGCAGGTTCGAGACTTTGAAACGTACTTCACAACGAAATTAAAAATTATCACCCTGATTTCCCAGTTATCGAACCTTTTTTTCAGAAATTTAAGTAAAATGCCGTCTGAAATTCGTCCTACGTTGAAATTCACGCGTCTGAGCGAGCATGCTTTTCCACCTGTTAAGGGTTCCGAGAAGGCAGCCGGTTTCGACCTAAAAAGGTAATTTTTACTTTATATCGCAGCTATTTACTATATATATAATTAATTATAATATATATGAAGCCTAATTTGTGTAAAATTATATATAAATTGTAAATCCACTTTCTTGTTCTAGCGCCTACGACTACGTAGTGCCTGCTCGCGGCAAGGAACTGGTAAAGACAGACCTTCAGATTGAGCTACCATCAGGGTGCTATGGTCGCGTGGCGCCGCGGTCGGGTTTGGCTGTAAAAAACTTCATTGATGTTGGAGGTGGGTATACATCGTTTCTAACCTCTAAAACAGAAAATTTTCCCGTCTGTCAGAATTGTTTGTCAGTATGAATAATCACTTTGCAACTTTTGTACACTATGAAGAATTTATTGTCCTGTTCTTTTCGTCACCTGAATCTCGTCATAAATGTAGAAAATATTATGAATGCTAAACAGTAAATTCTGCAATTTTCTGTCCTCAGCTGGAGTAATAGATGAAGACTACCGTGGCAATGTTGGAGTAGTGCTATTTAACCACTCTAATCAGGAGTTCACAGTAAAAAAAGGTGATCGAATTGCCCAACTCATTTGTGAAAAGATCTACTACCCTGACCTTTTAGAGGTGGCTGATTTGTCTGAGACTAAAAGGGCTGAAGGAGGATTCGGTTCTACTGGGACAAATTAGATTTTTATTTGTCTATTAGAAGGAAGGATACATTTTCATTAGTGTTAAGTTAGACTTATTAAGGTAAATGAGGAAGCTTGTTTCTAGTAATTATGTGTATGTTTGCCTATTTGCTTTTACAGTTTGTGTTGTCAATGGGATCTGAAGTTTATACCAAAACCATAAGTTAAAAAAAATTTAAAACCTAACAAAATGTTTTTAATAAATAGGCACCTAAGTGTGTAATTTGAAGTTATTTGTTTTGCTATACTTTCTTGTATTGTTACTATCTTAAAATTGTGATTGTGATAAACTTAGTATGATATATTATAGATTCTAAGCTACTGGTTTCTAAAATAAAGAAGTACAATTTGAAATAATCACTTTTAATAATGAGAAATAAGATTTTTTGACATGAGTAATTATGCTTTCGCTTATAGGTCCACCTGCAGGGCAAGCAGTATCTTACACAAGTCCCTGTCGTACTAGCCCTACTACTCGGGCAAAATACTGAGAAATAGAGTCAATATCATTAACACTTCAAATCTAGTTAATTGTTAGATAATATACTAATATACCATTTTATATTGGTAATTGAAGGCTTATAAAAGCGAAAATTAAACAAAATGGAAAGACACTACATGGTTCTTGTAGTTTGGTCAGTGTGTTTTGGGTAATGCCCCAGAGTGGATTCCATTGCTCTGGTACTTAAAGCACTGGGGTATTATATGGTTTGAGACCAGGTAATGGTGTGCTTGTCTGGCACATTATTGACACTTATAAACCCTTGCAGTATTAGCTAGCAACCAAAAAGTCATCTTTTAAATCACATCCCTCAGCGTTGAGGTGAACCGATTGACATTGTGCACTTCAACAAGTGAGACACAAGACATTAATGACGACACTGGCATTTGATGAAGTCTACCCAATGATTCGCTAGAATAAGGGGTGTAGTGAATACTAGCATAGGCGGCATGTTAATGTTACCTAATAAGTTATACCTCTAAACACCGAGCCTGTTGCATTTTCTATACGGCTCTATGCAATATCATTTACTTCCCATAGAATAGTATAGAAAACACAAGGTGCCCCAAGTATAGAACTGTCAGTCTACTATCAGTCTTTAAGAGATAAATATTTCTGCACATAATAGAAAATGTATTATCATTTATACCAGACAATTCATTCTTTGTTACTATCTCTACAATACTAGTGTGAGGTACACACAAGAATGCTTAAAAATAGGAGCTTCTGCTTTAAGTATTCATAAATAACTTATATACAAATGCTAAGCTTTGCATCTAGCATCTATAACAGATCTTTATAAAACAAAAATGCATGACTAAATATAAAAAATGGTATAAAAACATTTCGTCATAATTTTTTAGATTAGACATGCAGTGACATAACAAAAACTTACTTCTATGGTAGATACTAAACTCCTCTACATTTAAGTTATTAGAACATAAATCTGTCGCCACGGTCTCTACCCCCTCCTCTCCCGCCCCTGCCACCCCTCCCTCTATTGCCTCCACCTTCCTTATCTCGCCTCAACTTCATAGCTTCAAACCGTTCAGCCATTTGTTGCAACTCATCTGGCACTTCCTGATTTGCCTCTTCCAAAATTTTTATTAATTCTCGAGCATGCCCCCAATCCTTTCTGGAAATAAATGACAGTGATACGCCTGTCCTCCCAGCACGTCCAGTTCGTCCAACCCTATGTACATACTCTTCAATGTGCCGTGGGAAATCCAAATTCACCACATGTGTCAAATCCTTAATATCAATACCACGCGATGCAACGTCAGTTGCAACCAGAATATTAACAGTACCTTCAACCATCTCTGACAAAGCGGCTTCCCGGTCACTCTGGTCTCTATCACCGTGTAAGGATTGGGCCTCAATCCCCCTCATTGCCAGTTCTGTTGTAATGTGAGTAGCAGTAGCCTTTTTGCCACAGAAAATGATAACTTTGTCAGATGATTCCATGTTGCGTATAAATTCATACAGAGCTTCCTCTTTGTCATCCTCATCAACAAAAGAAATCTGCTGAGTAACAGTGTGTACTGCAGCCAAGTCTAATGAGCCAACATTAACTTGAATTGGATCTTTCATGTAAGACTCAGCAAGGCGGCGCACACCGTTTGGCCATGTTGCAGACGTCATAACAACTTGTTTGTCAGGTCTTACATCGAAAAGAGACTTCCTTATCTGAGGTTCGAATCCCATGTCTAACATTCTATCTGCTTCGTCAAGAACAATATACGAAAAGTTGATAATATTCAAATGACCAGTCACTATCAAATCATTCAACCTTCCAGGCGTAGCAATCACAATGTCAACTCCCTTTGCTACGACTTTTATCTGTTCTTTACGGTCACCACCTCCATACAGACAAACTGATTTGATGTTTTTATATTTATACTTAGAGACTTCCTTCTCAATCTGCAGAGCAAGTTCTCTAGTTGGAGCTAAAATGAGTACAGTTGGACCATCTCTCTGGTCTCTGGGTACGGTCTGACCATCAATATGAATTAATGCTGGTAGCAGGAAAGCCAAAGTTTTACCTGTACCAGTTTGAGCAATACCAATCATATCTTCACCTCTCAAAAGGATAGGCCAAGCCTGACTCTGAATTGGTGAAGGTCTTTCAAAGCCTTGCTTACGAATTTCCTCAAGAATTTCCGGAAAATGTTGGAATGCTTGATCAAAAGTAACCACAGGATTAGGGATGGGTTTCAGACCAGGTTTGTCATCAAAAGTCCGTTTCACTTGAATATCATTGTTGGTAAGGCGCCAGTGTTTTACCTCTTTTGGACTCATTGCAGCAACTTGAGGGTCTTCTTTATAGAAATCCTTGATGATAGGAGGTAATTGTTCATACCTAATCTTCTGCTGTTCTTCATAATGAGCATTGAGTTTGTCCCAATCAATTACTTCGACACCAGCTTCATTACTTTTAAAAAAATCATCAGATGTGTTGTTGTCTGCAGTGCAAGAGTTTACCTTGGGTACAGCTGGTTTATAATCCTCAAGAAGACTATTTATCATGTCCTCAACCTTAGCAATAGAAGCATCTTCACCAAGCAAAGTGATATTGGTTAAAGCTCCATTAGAATCGCCAATTTGTATTTTAGCCTCAGACTCGTACTCAAGGTCGCGTATCTTTGAACCTCCTTTACCGATAATACGGCCGACTTTATGGGAAGGTACGGTAATAGTTTTTTTGTTACCTTCTGGAATGTTGCGCCGGTTTCTGAAGCCTTGGTCTCTGAAACCTTGGTCTCTGGAACCCTGGTCTCTAAACCCTTGGTCTCTGAAGCCTTGATCTCTTGAACCTTGGTTCCTGAATCCTGGATTGTTCCTGTCGCTTTGATCTCGCCAGTTAGTAGAGCGATTATCATTGCCTCGAGTCTCGCGCCAGTTAGAGCGATCACTGTAGCCACGATTATCACGGGATCCTCCGGGATTCGGCCGGTACACCCGCGTGTTTTGCGGAGGCCGCGGTGCCGGTGTCACCACCACCTGATCTTCTTGCCACTCATCATCCCAATCTGCCATTTTAGAAATTGTCCAAAATACGGTTGTTTAATACGGCAGATTTAGTGCTTAATTATCAAGCGACTCAATTTAAACTTTAAATGTTTTATGAAAAAGAGCAGCTTAACAAAGCAAAACACGATGAAAAAGATTTTTTTGTAACATTGTTTGTTTTTAAATTTTTGTCCGCGTTTAGGGTTGCCAATATTTTTTTACTTTCTATTTTCATAAACTATTAGACTTTTGACTACCAACCTTAGACTATGGAAACTTTTTTCCATCCTCAAAGCTACCAACAAACCTTTACGGAAGCATTAAAACTTTCTAAGCCTATAATAAGGTTTTTATTTTAACTGAATCTACATGCATTTGATTTCGTACATATTTACAAATATGTGCGAAATGAAATGTAAAAGGTAATAAGTTAGGTTTGCTTTGGCTGGCGGCGATATAGTAAATTAAGCAATTTAATGGGTCAAAGTACACAGTACCCAGAGCCAGAAAAAAAAAATCATTAAAAAAAATTTTATTCGCGAACATTGGCGAACATCAAGCACCATACAGGTGGACAAAATATAAAGGAATGAAGTCTTAGAGAATGGAAAAAAAGGAAATTGTCTAAGAATGAAGTACAGGGTCAAGAGCACGTCAAGCTTGACACTTAAGATTTAAATCCAACTCTATGCCGCCCTGATAAGAATGGTCCAAACAATAAAAAAAGTTGAGAATGGTTACGAAAAGTGTCAAGCTTGATGTGCTCTTGACACGTTTGTACGTACTTTGGACCGTTCTTAACGTAAGGCGCATACAGTTGCATTTAAGTCTTAAGTTGACGCTTGACGTGTTCTTGACCCTGTGTGAACGCAAGAAAATAATTTAGACAAATTTTAACCGACTTAAAAAAAATTAGAAAGGTTATGCGTATATGTTACGCGATTGCTCCGACATTTGTTAACCGATTTCGATTCTTTTTGTTGTTTTTATAATATAGCAAACAAAAAAGGGGTTCCTCAGTAATGATCCCATTAAAATTTAAAATTATATATATTAGATTATACTCCACCACTAAGGGTGGCAAATCAGGGAATGAATTCGATTTATTCGGTTTCAAGGAAAAGATATAATATTTCCGCAATCGAACTCGCAATGCGATTGTCATATTATTCGTAAAGGCCAACAGATGGCACCAATTATTACATTTTTTGTCAATTATTTGCTCTTATTCAGGCGTTGATTATATCTGAGAGAGGGGGTCACCTTTGAACATTTTAGCATCTTGTTTAGTTGCGTTAACTTTTGTTACGAATTGCCATGTAGTTCAGATTAGTATTTTTTTTATAGTATGACTAGGCGTCAGAGTTAACTTAAAATAATTTCTGTTAACAATTTCATGAAAGAATTCAACCATTTACTTTTTATTGAGTTCTTAGGTTTTCGCGATTGTTACACATAGGAAATGAAACTATTTTTCAAAATAGTTTCATTTACTTTTTGTTCTGTTTGTTTAACGATTTCGACATTCTTTGGCATTGTGTTAATTTTTCTTTTTTTTTAAGGTACCAACAGACGGGACGAACAAGTCGTGCACTTGGTGCCAAGCGACACGCCTGACCAGTTGCAGTGCCACTCAGAGCTTTAAATCGCAAAGATCTGAGGGGCACTGCCACTGCGCCCGTCACCCTGAGACATAAATTGACAAGTCATGTGTGCCTGTAATTTTACCAGCACCCTTACCCTTCAAAACCGGAACGCAGTAATGCTGAGATTACTGCTTGGCGGCAGAAATAGGTAAGGTAGCAGTACTTACCTGGACGAACACTTTCACAAGGAGCTCTACTGCTACTAAAGCATGTTTGTGGGAATAAATAATTACAAAAGTAACAACCTTGTAAATTCCTGCACTGTCGTACCTATATAAAAAAATCTAAATTACTATATGTCATGCTTAGAAGTAAATGAAAAAATTGTATACAAAATTTTATGCGCACTTGATAAGAGTAAGGGTGCAGGTGTTGATGGGGTTCCGCCCTTTTTCTTATCTTCATGTGCTGAAAGTCTTGCCTTGCCTATTTCTCTTTTATTTCGCCATTCCCTTAAGGATTGCGTTTTTCCTAGTACCTATATGGAAAAAAGCACAAATCATCCCCATTCATAAAAAGGTTCACGCTCACGAATTGATAATTATCGTCCAATCTCTATACTAAATTGTATTAGTAAAGTTTTTGAAAAATTAATTTACACTCAGATTTATCCATTGATTTCCCGTGTCATTCCGCATACTCAGCATGGGTTTATTAAGGGGCGCTCAACAGTATCTAATTTGGCGCTTTTTTCAAACTATGTGTTAACTGAAATGGAGGGTGGTGGACAAGTCGATGTTATTTATACTGATTTTGAGAAAGCGTTCGATCGCGTTGATCATTCTACTTTGTAAGCTGCAAGCTCTAGGGATATATGGCGATTTACTTCGTTGGATCCGCTCATACTTGTCAAATCGCTCTCAGTTAGTTGTGATTGGTGGATAGTCAGACTACATCATGGTACCTTCTGGGATTCCTCAGGGATCTCATCTTGCAACTTTATTTTATAATGCGTACATTTTTGATATTACTGACTATATTAAAGTTCTAAACATATTATGTATGCTGATGATAAAAAAGTTTACATGAACATTCGCAGTAGGGCTGACTGTATATCGTTACAACAAGATTTAGATTCGCTTCAACAATATTATTTACTAAACAAAATTACAGTTAGTGTAGCCAAATGTCAAGCTTTTAGCTTCACTCGTAAGAGGAATCCTATTATATTTTGTTATAACTTAAATGGGGTTACAATCAAGAGGGTAGGCTTGGTGCGTGATCTGGGTGTATTCTTTGATGCAAAAATGCTTTTATCTGTTCATGTAGATTGTATCGTACAGAAATCTTACCGTAAGTTAGGTTCTGTAATTAGAACTTGTATTCCATTTAAATGACCCTTAACTTTTAAGGTGGTCTATTTCGCGTACGTACGTTTTTTTTTTTTTTTTTTTTTTTTCAAAAGTTCGTGGAATTACTATTTTATTTATTTATTAACTTATATACATTTTTATATTCGTTTATACGACACTGAAACCCTTGAGGGGTTTAAAGGTGTGTCACGTCTGACAAATTTGACGTTGGATAACAAATCTAATACTAAACTAAACACTAAACACTTACATTTACATTTAATACAAAAACATGAAATGACTCTAAAAATAGATAAGAAATATTAAACAATATTAATAATAATACACAATTTATACCTAAAAGTAGTTGAAGGTAGATACAAATAACCACCAGCATAAATAAAAGAGACCGAATTCAGAAAAGCGAGAGCGAGCGAGATGGATGTTATTTCACAGTACCATCTTCGATTCTCGCAATCGCCTGCCCCTCACAACACGTTTGATCGTATACAGGTTGATTTTTTTTCTTTCTATAAAAGATCTTTAACCTATTATTAAACTTTGTAGTTTGGAATTGCAGTCTTAAATCTGTAGGTAATTCGTTAAGTAATTTTGGTATGAGTAGCATCCTTGAGTATGCAAGCCCCATATGGTCTCCATGTTATATGGAATACATAAACCGAGTAGAAGGTATTCAGCGTAAGTTTGATAAACATTAAAACTTTAAACCTAACCTAAGTAATCTTTCCTACTCGGAGAGCTGTTGCTGTCTACACGTTTATGTAAAGTACCGTTTCCATGCCTAAACCACTGAACCAATTTTGATGAATTTTGGTATAGGATAGATGGGAGATAGGAAAAGAAATAAATCTACAAATTTTACCACAGAAATAAATCTTAAAGGGGGTGGAATAGGGGATGAGAGTTTGTATGGAGAACCAATACTATGAAACTTAAAATAAATAAAATAGAAATAACTATGAACATTAGTACTCATTCTACGCAGTTGTAGTTTGTGGGTAGGTGCTAGTAGAATCCGGACAAAATTCAAAATCATCTTTATTTCATACCATAGGCATGGGTCAGCAAAATACACTTGAAATCATCATATTGATTAAGCTTTACGGCTAACTCGTAAGGCAGATACCCCTGAGAAGAATGAGCAAGAAACTCTAGGAGTTGCTCTTTGTAAATATACAATTGAAAAATACATTTGTCATTTTCAATATTTATTTCGAACATCATTTTAGATTAAGATTACCTGCAGAGCTAAACGAAGAATTGTATTTAGTCTTAGTCTTATAACGTTTTTGTTTTACTATTGTTTAAACCTCCTAAATATGGCAAACTTTGAATGTCAAGCGGAGTCTTATTAAAGAAGCGTTATACATCACATACATATACGACTATGGAATGGAATTCCCTGCCTGCAGACTTGTTCCCCGAACGTTATAACTTGGACCTTTTCAAGACGAGAGTGAATAGGCATTATTTAGGTTGCATGCTCCATCGTCGACCTCATCGTCACTTTCCATCAGGTGAATTGGAGTTCAAACGTGCACTTACATTTTGTGCAAAAAAAAATTGCCCTGTCACTTTATAAAAACTAAAAAAAGCCTGTCCAAGAATACCTAGTTAGTTTATGTTATTCCTTGCATAATATAGCCATTTTTTTCTGAAAAACAGTGGTAGACCTTAACATAAATTACATTTTCATAAATGTACTGTCGACCTATTATTACCCCCGGATTTCTTGGGGCGGGCAACAAAATTTAGAAAAGTTTCAAATAGTGGACATTTTTCAAGAAAATTATTTGAAAAATTAGAAAAATATGATTCGAAGACTGATATTATATTCTTTTAATGTTTTATTTAGCACGAATTATAAAATAATATTGTTTTGCATTACTAATTGTAATTTTTTAAATCCTGCTCGCTATTTTCACAAATTCTCTTAATAGAGTTTAGTATCTTCAAATTTCAACAGGTGCCACTGCCAAATGTGGAAAAGTATAGGAAAATATTTATTATTTTCTGAAAAATATCACTTTTTCAAAATGGACATTTTTCCATGACTCAACACTAACCCGTACATCGCTCATCCAAATTTAGATACGCATAAACTAATATATCGTATTATATATTATATAACATAAATAAAATTAAAATAAGCCGTTACTACACGATTACCCGTAGCACTGGCTTTGGAAACCTATCACGGACACCAGTCACTTATGTAGTCGGTATTAACCTGCTTTTGTGAGTTAAAGATAAATTAAAAAAAATATCTTCTAAATGTTCTGACGGGCTGACCATTTTTATGCCTTTTATCGTTTTTATGGTTAAAACAAGGTTAAAACTACCTACAGTGTAAGTACGGTACAATTTTTTTTAAATGACTACAGTGTCATCACAATTGCGTCGATTATGTTTATTATATTATCCATATCAGACAAGATTATACAGAAGAAAACAAATTATGAGAACGTGTTGGTTTATAACTTTTACATGCATAAAAAAAGTACATTTGTTTGTACTATGTGTAAAACTAAAAGATGTATGTGTGTAATGAAGTGCAGTGAATAGATAATGTCAAAATATTTTTTTCAATTTATTTAACACTAAATATCCAAAATGTGAGAAAAAAAACACTAAATAATGTATTAAATTCAATACCGTCAATATGAACTTTCGTTCTCGATCACTTACAGCACGGTCTTCTTTTTTTTATACATGACAGGCAGAGGACTCCTGCCTACAAGACTCTGGAGTTATGACCATTGGTGAAATTACAGGCACACGCGACTTGTCAACTTATGCCGCAGGGTGACGGGCGCAGTAGCAGTGACCCTCAGATCTTTGCGATTTAAAGTTCTGAAAAACCATCAACCAGACAAATCTCCAATTCTCCGCCACGCATTGACTCCCACGTGTCTAAGTTCGAGCTAGACTTAATCATCAGATGAATCTTAGTTTAACATCACTGAAGTTGAAAATTATTTAGAAGGCACGTTTAGTATATAATATACGTTTTTGATTCAATTTTGTTACTTATGATGCCGAAACAAGATTTATTTTTCATCAGACCGATGTAAAACGTAATATCATGAAAATTTAACACAGACTGGGTACATATAATTGAATAATTACTAGGAAAAGGCGGAACCATTGGAATATTTCGCACCCTTGATGTAATAAAAGTCCCATCTGAATAATGACAACTTTTCAGCACAGAGGTTTAAAGGTCTACAAAACCTTTTGTATGTTTAAAAATAGGAAAATTATAAAATTACATAGTACGTAATCTGTGGTGCTGGAGATGAATGAAGGGCATAAGTTGAATAGAAAAGAAAACCAATGGGATTAGGAAGTATTGAAAATGGTAAACGAGAAAAGAACGATTCTGAATACAATAGAGTATACGCGGAAAAATGATTAGACATTTGATACGTCAAGACAACTTCAGTAAGATCATTTTAAGGGATCGAGGGGAAGAAGGGAAGAGGTCGACCTAGGCGCAGTTGCAAAGACCAAATAAAGGAAAAGACCGGTGTCGTGTCATATAAGGCGGTCAAGGAGCTGGCTTATAAGAGAGATGACTGAAAAATGCTCCACAGACGAGAGTATAACTTAAATTTGATGATGATGATGAGTTCGTATTATTTTTATGTCTATTTCATGTGATAAAAGCGTTTTTGAAGTATGACCACATTATACCAAGATTGCAATTTTATCTTTATAAATTTTCAATCGGGTTCTATTCGGACTATTAAAGCTCGGCCCTCACATACTTAGGCAGTACAGTAAATAGACAAATAAGGCAAATATTTTGTCAAACATGCTATTTGCACATGGTGATTGTTTATCAAATATATCAAATACGCAAATACAAATACCAAAATGTACAAATAACTGTAGGTATTACTTTTGGGCTCCGTCCCAACAGATAAATATGCCGCCGTCCGTCCGTCCGTCCGTAATTCACCTGTCTGTAACGTACACGGTTTGTAGATTACAAAACAATATTGTAATCTGAGGACACGTTATATACTTTCTACGTAAGTTGTTGTAAGTCAAAACACCATTTTTTGCTTTTTAACTTGAACATATCGCACCCCTTATGGAAGAATGGCGCAAGTGGAGTTATGTCAAAAATGTTTTAAAATAGCAATAATATTGATTACTTGCAATACTATCGACAGTATCGTTCCTAACTATCGCGCAAATAATCGATACTATCGATCCCGACTACCGCATAAATAATCGATACTATCGATCTTGAATATATAGCTGATAGCTTTGCGCAATCGAGAGTCGTATATAACTCAATAGAATTGCGAGATACGTGGCGATACAGAACCTATCGACAGGGCAAATACCATCGATAGTCCATGTGATAGTCAGAATTAATACTATCGATTGTTTTTGCAATAGTCAGGGTCAATACTATCGATACTATTGTGTGTTACTCTTAATACTATTGACAATTTTATGCTATCGACACTATTGTATAAGTACCTCACTAGCGATGGTGGCCTATCATTGGCAACACTAATGTGGGTTATATTTTTCTGATTCGCTCTGGACCTTTTGGAGGGAAAAGTGTCGTTTTTATTTTGACTTTCAATTATTTTGTGAAATCTAGTTTAAAAAGGAATAGGATAGTGCTATTGTGCCTTAATCGAAGATTAAAACGCGAAATTATACGAATCTCGAACTAAAATACCCGTATCGGCCCGTTCTAAGGAATCCCGAGTCAATCCAAGCACGCCGCCTCAAATTGCCTATCCTCTTTGTGGCGGCCATATTTACAGAAAAACTTATTTTTATGTTTTCGGCTGAAGGACTTTGTTTCCATGGCCAGAAATAAATTAATAAAAAAAAATTATTATATTTTTCTGTATGTAATGAATGGAGCAATAAAGGTTTTTGACGTAACTCCACTTATTCCATTCTTCCATGAGGGGTGCGATATGTTTAAGTTAATAAGCGAAAATATGGTATTTTGATTACAACACTTCCGTAGAAGGTATATAAACGTGTCCTTTTTTATGTATATCATAGGTTCTATGCTTGAAAGTAAACACATATAACACTAAGTGATTTCCTAACTTTTTCAACATGAAACCTATAAATACGCAATTAAAAAAGGATAATACGCTGTTCGAATATCACATTCGAAGCTATGAAACAAGATTCTTCTTCAATGTGCAAGCCGGCCTAATAAGCTGCCGCAGGCAGTATCTCAACTACAGAGTGTATATGATCTATGAGCAGTATTCTGCCGTCCGCTAACTTATTAGGGTCGTATTCCAGAACTCTAATTTGAGTATGGTTTAAAGCACTCGAAATCATACTCAAGTCCCTGCCATTAGGGTCGTATTTCCAGTGCAATCCTGACTTGAGCATTGAGTAGAGTTCTAGTATACGACCCTGAGTATGGTTTAAAGCATTCGAAATCATTCTGAAGTCCTTGCCATTAGGGTCGTATTTCCAGTGCAATCCTGACTTAAGCATTGAACTCTACTCACTCAATGCTCAAGTCAGGATTGCACTGGCTAATGGCAAGGACTAGAGTATGATTTTCAGTGCTCACTGCAATACTTATGTCCTGACTTGAATATTGAGTAGAGTTCTGGAATACGACCCCCTTTAACGCGGCTAAGTGACAAAAAATATATTTTTTAAATATCTTAAAAACCATAACCCAGTTCTAGAATATTGAAATTGCTTAATGATATTTCAGTTCAGTTATGCATCGTTAGAGTATGTTAACAGTTTATGAAACGTAATCTTATATCTTTTCCTATTTACAACGGATATTTGACCATTTGCCACGTATAGCCGCGTCTTAGTGGACGGCAGTATTTATTTTCAGTTTTTCTACAGCAATGTAAATTAAATACAAATCCTACCTTTTTTTGGAGCATATTTATTTTAAATAAAACAAGGCATTTAAGATTATTAAAACGACATTTATTTTAATTATTAAAATCCAACAGATGATCACAAATTGCTAAAGGTAACTACTTATTTACTTACATACAAATCAGTCTTTTAAAATTGTACCTAACATTGAGATTCTTTTTTATATGATCGAGGTATTTTAATCCACTTCTTCAATTGTGGGGCCATCTCCGCTAGATCGCTGGTATCCTGGCATGCCCCCGGGCATTCCTCCAAATCCTCCCATTCCACCGGGCATACCACCGCCCATGCCCATTCCGCCGGGCATACCACCTCCCATGCCCATTCCGCCGGGCATACCACCGCCCATGCCCATTCCGCC